AGGACGTGGTTGAATGCCCACCCTACAAACATCAGGTGTGTTCTTGTGGGAGATTTCCTTCCAGAATTGGGTGGACATATGACCACTGAAGTCCCTGCTGTCTCCTGAAGTTCTTTGATTATTCTTTAGTCTGAACATTCTCAGTTGTTTCAGCTGATCCTCACAAGGCCATTCTTCTAAAGCCTTAAAGAACACATTGACTCTTTGATCCTGGACAACAGGCTTTTGTTACTGCTGCCCAAGGATCGCTTCAGCTTTGTAGACCATCATACCATGCTATTGACTCATAATGAGTTGACAGTTCACCACAGGTATATGTCACTTTCAGACAAATGGCTGTCCAGCTGTTCTACCCCAGTCTCGTATGTTTGAATTTTTTGAGACTAGGTGTAGAACCTTACATCTATTCCACTTAATTTTCATCTTATTAGACTTCAGCCCATAGTGTTCTAACCTATCAAGATCTTTTTGAATCATGACTTTGTTATTCATTATGTTAGTAATCTTTGCTAGTACTATCTTTTGCAGATGCTCTAAACGTGTTATCTTTAGCTTTATCCACGTCATTGGTAAAAATGGTCAACGACATAGAGCCAAAGTTAGCTCTCTGGCGCATTTCACTGAAGACCTTCCTACAAGTTCTTAGCTATCCCTTTATGACTTAGCTGTCCCTTTATGACTGCTCTACATGTTTTCAAATTCACCTGTCCAGCTATCATGAAGCCCACAGCTCTCATCTTGTCAAGATGAAAAATAGCAGGTGTTTGATGCCTTTTAGAAATGTAGACTAAACTACCATTCCTCTGCCAGTGGCTGAATCTCAGAGTTGGAAGGAATCTGAGAGGCTGCCTAACCCAGGCCTAACAGTCGTCGTTATTCCTTTGCTTGGAGATCTCGGGCAAGAGGTGGGTGGGGAGATGGATGTAGTTGTCACCTCCCCAGGTGACCCATTTCACTTTTGGGTAGCTCTCATTTTCAGGATATTTTTTATATCAAGACTGAATTTGCCTCCTTGCCACTCCCTGACAACCTTTAAAGTTTCTTTCAGATCTAAATCTATGATCCAACCGTAACTCTTGGTTCTGCCCTTAATTAACCCTGTCAGAAAAATGAAATCGGGTTCATCTGGCACGGTCTCTGCTTGTGAAGCTTCCCTTGTTCTTAATGTTCTTTTGATTCTCCTTGGATCCATCCATGCGCACTCTTCAGCTCTGTCAGCTTGAATGGTTTTCTCTCCTCCTCTCCGGCTCGCTTCCTGCTCGCTCCTTTCCCATCTCCTTTACGTATCTTTCAGCCAACACCTTCCATCGTGGGTGACTGCCGAAGGTACAGCCGTGGCGCCTTCTGTCTGCGTCCTGGCCTCTGTGAAATGACTTAGCAGTCTATTCTCAGGCCTGACCTACACTCCAGGTCTAGAATGTGGTCACCTTGATGTCCCCCAGACTTTGAGAACTTAACATGTCAGTCAGTCAGGAAGCATTTATTAAATGTCTACTGTGCCAGTCACATTGCTTAACACCAAAGACACAAAGACCAGTTCTTGCTTCTAAAAAACTTTACAGTCTAATATATAAATAAATGTACACATACAAATGAGGTGCAAAGTGTGTGAAACAAGGTTGTTTTGGGAAGGAGGGTACTAGCAGCTGGAGCGATCCAGGAAGATGTCTTTTTAAGGCATGTGATTCCTGAGTTGATTCTTTTTTTCTTTTTTTAATCTTTTGATTTATTAAGCAGTACATGCCAATTACCTAACAAAGAGGGACCAGACCTCCTCAGCTTAGGCCTAGACCCAAAATACAGGTGGAGATAGACTTTTATACATTAAAAACAATTATTCAAATAAGGCCAATTAATTAAAAGGAAACAATACATTATATAATCTGATTTCTTTTTTTTAATTAATTTATTTTTCATTTTCAGCATTCACTTCCATAAGCTTTTGAGTTTTAAATTTTCTCTCCCTCCCTCCCCAAGACAGCACGCAGTCTGATGTAGGCTTTACATATACATTGCTGTTAAACATATTTTCACGTTAGTCATGTTGTAAAGAAGAATTAGAACCAGTGAGAGGAACCACAAGAAAGAAGAAACAAAAAAAAAAAAGAGAGCACAAATAGTAGGCTTCAATCTGCATTCAGACCCCATAGTTCTTTCTCTGGATGTTGATAGCATTTTCCATCATGAGGCCTTTGGAGATATCTTAGATCCTTGCATTGCTGAGAAGAGCTAAGTCTATCAAAGTTAGTCATCACACAATGTTGCTATTACTGTGTACGATGTTCTCCTAGTTCTGCTCACTTCATCCTGAGTTGATTCTTAAAGAAAACTTAAGAACCACAAAACAAAACTTGTCTTTTCTCCAAAATCTGTTTTTCTATCTGATTTCACTTGGTGATCTCATCAGCTCCGTTATTTCTCAAATATACCTATCCTGTCCCAGGCTCTTTGCTGACTTCTGGTCTTGCCTCTCCAGCTGCTTTTCATACATCTCAAAATGGATGTCCTGTAGATACCCTAAACTCAAACTTACCATTTTTCCCCTGAACCCTCCCCCCTCTTACCTTCCCTGTGCATGCCTAATATAGTGCTGTATACACAGTATGCATAATACACATTTCATAAGTGTTTGTTGAATAAAATTAAAATGAAAGGAAGTATCAGAACAGTGGAGTATGCAATACCAGGGGTCAGCAGCTTAAAGAGGCCGTAGGAGGTAGTAAAAAGTGGACTAATTGGGGTCAGGAGACCTCCAGAAATGACTGCTGCTCATTAGCTGTGTGATGTTAGACAAGCCAGTTGACCTCTTTAGTTTCCAAATCTGTAAAATGAGGGGTTTGGAATAGATTCTAAAATACTTTCCTTCTGGAATTCTGTGATTTGGATTGGGTAAATGAGTCTAAAGAAGCTAGGTTTTTCTCTATCGCTACTGCTAGGGATGAAGGCCATAGTGTAGTGTGGTATTTATAAATCTAGGTCTTAAATTTATGTAGACAAGTGTAGTTTAAAATTTTGACATGATTCACATTTGGAAATTTGTTTCATAAAAACACTGTAAACTCAAAAATGCTATTTAATTGTGAATTATTATTATTTTGTTATAGACATATGAACCTGGGTTCTAATCAAAACCAGAGTACTGGGGGTGGGTGGAGTAGGAAACAAATATAAATGCTTTTAGGAAACTGCTTTGTAAAATTTCAAGATCAGTAGTCTCTGCATTGTCTTAGCTCCGTAGCCTTGTTCCTGACTTCCCAACTGTATTTCCTGATGAACATAGTGGTTTTTGTGTTGTGTCAATAAGACTTTCTAGTACCAAAATTTATTTTGAAACCTTTAAAAAATAAGTTAGAGCCAAGCTACAATATAATATATAATAGATAGCTTTTTACCAAATTTTATATTACCATCTGAAAATGACTAAAATTATTGGTTTCAGATTATATAAAATACATTAAGTTCCTTACTTGATTTTTGTAAATTCAGAACTCTATCTTGATTATAAAATAGAGATAAGGTCAAGTCTGATGTTAAGACTATTCAAATGAGTTATCGAAACATACTTAATGTAGCTTTAGCTTTTTTTTTTTTTTTTTTTTTTTTTAAAGGCAATTGGGGTTAAGTGACTTGCCCAGAGTCACACAACTAGTAAGTGTCAAGTGTTTGTTCTGAGGCTGGATTCGAAGTCAGGTCCTCCTGACTTCAGGGCTGGTGCTTTATCCACTGCGCCACCTAGCTGCCCCCAGCTTTAGCTTTTTAAACACCACAATTTAAGCAGAGAGGTATATATCCTAAATCCACTAGAGAAACACTTTAGCATTCAATTTTAATGGGAAAATTTTTGAGCCAAATTTTAAAGTTTTTAATCTTGTAGTTTAAAAATTCTTGAAATTTATTTCAAGTCAAAAGCCTTGTTGGAGTTTCTTTGTGTTTTGAATATTTGGAGTTTCAACATAAGAAATCTTGACATTTGAAACTCAAAATTGAACTAATGCTTAGTTATGTGTTAATAATGCATTTAGTTAAGCATTATGAATTAATGCTTACTAGGATAGTAGCTCAGTCAAATAAAATTATCTCTCTTTAAGACTTATTTGGAATATATTTAAATAATTTTTATTTATTACCTTGAAAAGAAAAAAAAAATTGCACTGCTCTTCCCTAGAGCAATTATATCCTCCTGAGGGATATTATGTATAATTTATCTAATACCTTTCCAGCTCAAAGGAAATAAAATCTATACCCTTAGACTCCAAATGAGTGTTTCTCCTTTAATCAAGAAGCTAGAATCGGTCCATAGATAGTTTTCCAAAAGAGTGAAGTGGTCCCTCCTAGCATTGTCATGGTGAAAGAGGGATGCTGGTCCCAGGTCTGCCGTTAAGGGACCCAGCTTGAACCTGGGTCTTCTGAATTCAGTGTCAATGCACTGTCTACTTCCTCCCCAGTGGGGGCCTTCAGAACAGACTCTAAAACCAAAGCCCAGACTTGACGTTTGCCTCGAAAACCTGCACGTTGAAGGGATCCTTTTAGTGAGCGTTTAAAAATGCCTGAGGTCCCTGTCTCACAATAATTTTGTAGACATTTCCGGTGGCTCTAACATTTGAAATGCAATATTGTAATTTATATAGTCTTAAAAAAAAAAAACCTAAACATTTCTGTTTTGTATTTCTTTAGGCCAGTGTTATCTATTTACCCTGATTGGCCACCTCCTAAATTGAAAATCTGGGGTTATCCGCTCCTGTTGCCTTTGTGGAGAATGATCTTAAAGAAACTGGCCGCTGTGACTGTTGGAGTTTGCCCTACTCCACGGCGGCATCATAAATCAAGTCCCATTTTTAAGGCCTTTTTTCACTCTAGCTGCTTGAGGATGTTTTTGGGGAGAGGGGATCAGTTGTCTTATATACACATTGATTTTCTTTATGTACTTAGAGATTGCCTGGAAAACTAGAATAGGCAAAACATTTTGAAATCATTTTGTTGTTTCTGTCTTTTGTGTCTAGGCCAAAGCAACTTCATGAAATCCCAGCCTTTTACTGTCCTGACAAGAATAAAGTGAATTTCATTCCTAAAAGCGGCTCTGCCTTCTGCCTCGTCAGCATCCTCAAGCCACTTCTTCCCACCCAAGATCTTACCCTTAAGGGCTCAAGCCATGGCCTGACTGTCTCCACTGGCATGGCACCCACGTTGCTGCAGCCTATCGCCATGGCCTCCCTGTCTACAAACACAGAACAAGACCGGATTTCTCGAGGAACGAGTACGGTCATACCACAGGCCTCGATACTCCAGCAATCAGGACCACTTGAGGAGGCTGAGGGATAGACTACTCTTGCTCATGCATTGCTCTGGGAAACTAAGAGAACCTAATTGGGAATAAGGTGTGAATGAACATTCCAAATCATGCCTCCTTCCATCAACTGAGTCTGCCGTCAATAGACTCCTAAACTTTTTTGGTAGTGACATGCCCCAGCTGTCTGTGGTGATGATGTCATGATGAGCTTCCATAAGAAAGCAGTACTTGTGACTGCTGTACCCCATTTGTGAAGTCTCAAACTCAGTTCACATACCACTTTTTTTTTTTTTTTTTTTTTAGCACTGGTTAAAAGAAAAAAGCTGTATCATTCTTTACTTTTGGAGGACCATTTTATCACAATGCTTTTTGTGTCCCAAGTTAGACTTTTTAAAGAGCAAACAGATCCCTGCAAACATAATTACCAAAGGGAGAAGTTACTGATGCTGCAAGAACCATCTTTTATATGAAAATGACTATTTTATAATAATAACAAATGTTAATTTTCAGATGCATAGCAGACAATAGGATGTTCAGAAGACATTTCCTTGGCCACTGTTTTTTTGTTTCCTTTTCTAGATGTATGCTAATCTCAGCTGTTCTCCAGCTGCTGGGACCAAAGGGATTGCTGAAATTTTCCAGCAATCTTAGTCACTTGACTGTGTTCTTCTCCCAACCAACAACAGATAAATAAATGCATTGAACGTTTGTATGTACACACACACACACACACACACACACACACACACACAGAGCAATATTAGTTCATTATGTGATGTTGTTTTTTGACGTCAGAAGTTTTGTGCTTTGGATACCATCCTTTTAAAAGTGCTATTCCCTCCACATTTAAGATTCCTGTATACCTTTATCTGCATGGTGAAAAAACTACATTCTGGATACAAGTGCTTTAATATTCTATCAGTGGAGTTTTGTTAGAAAATCAATGAGCCAAAAAGTAACTTAACCCCCATTCTTGATCACTCTAGCCAGGAGAAGGATACTCCTCTAGTCAACAGTGTGTGAAATCATGTGATCTTTCCCCCTTAGCACAAAAATTACTTCTTCACCTCAACCCTCAGTGTGTTGTAGCCCCAAGTGATCCTGATGTGGCTATGCATGGATCCCCCCTCCCTTGCTTTCGTGACCTTGCACTCAGTGTTGTGGATTAATTCAGAGCAGATTGTGCTATGTTCGCTGCAGCCAGTGGTCCCCCTTCCTGCCCCCTCCCCGAAGGTCACCTTTCTGATCCCAGTCATCTGAGGGTATGGTTAGGTTTGTTGGTTTGTTTGATTTTTTTACATGTAAGGGAAAAAAATAGGAAAATGAAAATAGAAAGGAAGTTAAAGAGAGGGGGCTCTTCTCTCATTGAGAGGTGACCCGAGTTTCAGCTTAGGCAAGTCCTAATATAAACACCTGCATATAGAACCGATAGCTGTAGGTGATTTGATTATCAAAGCAACTCTTAGAAAAATTCCAGATAAGAACATTCGTGGTTTGTGACAGAGCTTGAGTTGAGGGGCAGCTGTTTTGCAGTGTCAACATAAATAAAACTGAAAGAAGCATCCTTTTAAAAACTTCATATAGTATCTTAATACGCAATAATTTTATATCCCTACAAATATTACAGTCAGAATCCAGTGTTGGGCACTTGAAATGGAGGAAACAACTTCACTGTTCATTCAGCCATAGTTTTCTAAGCTCACAGTTCTATCCCTTCAGGGAAAAACTGGTAGTAGCAATAAGTGTTTTCAAAAGACTGTACCAAACTTGTATTCATGTTCCTTTCAAACAGTTGGCTGATTAAAACCTGTTAAGTAATTTTAAAATGATGTGACTTAGCCATATGCATACATTTGAATAAATCTGTTACACATCAACTGGTAGGTACAGTGTACTTTGATACCCTTTTTATCTGAGACTAATTCTGAGTATACTATATCTTCTTGTACAGTTAAGCTTTCAATTGTTCAGGAGCTAATCATCCAGTTGTTAATCTTGAAGCCCCATTTCTCTGCCATCTTGTTTCTGTCTGAGATAATTCACTGTTAATTAGCTACTGTACAAAAAAAAAGAGCCAGCGATATGAAGAGATGTAAAACAAATCCATCGATTTGGCTCCTTCTTTGTTAGCGCTTCTGGTGACAGGTGTAGGAGGAAGTTGAAACCAATGGCTAAGAACACTAGAGTTTCTGGGTAATTTATGAATTTTAATAATCCTTGCTATGTTTTCTCTTACTCTTATACACCTTCCATTTAAAAATAAAATCTCCTGTATTTAGCATAGGTAATCTAGGCTGGCTGCAAATTGAATGCTTTTACCCAGATATATACCTCTATCCAATATAGACAATATCTATAAATGTTCTACATTTGCTGAATCTGAAGCATTTAAAAATTACAATTGAAGCAGATGTTTAAGAATTATTGTTTATATAGACTTTGAATTTAAACAAATTCTTATCTAATCCTTGACTTTGAGAAGAATGAAAATTCCCAGGTAGATTACTTCTTTGGCTTCCAAATTAACCTTGAATACATCCTTAGATTCTGAGCTTTAGGTCTTTTTATTTCATTTGAGTTGATGCAGAACTCTACAGCAATTGCCAAAGGGCTAATTTCAGCATATAAGCTTCTATTGTAATCTTGAGAAAATTATTAACCACTCTAGCTGTCAGCCTTTCACCCATCCGTCTCTTTTCATAAGCATTTGATGAATTTAAGATGAAGCTTAATCTTAAATATAGTGTTGCTACTACAATTAAGTTCTTACGTTTATGCGCTATTAAATAGAATAAAATTTCTAATGAATGAGATTTGGGGAAAATGTTGACATTTTCCAAAAATACTATTAAACAAGCAATATACAAACATAATAGCAGGGGTGGTATAAACTCCATATTCAGGTCAAAGATCATGGATTTAGGGCAAGAAGAAACCTTAGAGGTCATCTAGTTGAACTCCTTAATTTTACAGATGAGGAAACCAAGGCCAAAAGAGGTTAAATGACTTACTTAGAGTCACATAATTACTAGGATGCTTAGCCGGAATTGAAATTCAGGTCAGCCAACTCCAAATCTAACACTTTTAAAATAAGTTGTACCACTTTTCTGGTGGAGGACTAGGGGTGAGATGGGGAGACAATACTCTGGAGAAGATTATCATTTTCTCTGTAGATGAACTTTTCTTGCTATCACAGCTTTCTAAAATAAAAAGCTACTTTATTATCTCTGAACCTGAGTATGAGGTGGTGTGGTGTAAGGAAAGGGCACAAAATCTGAAATCAGAAGAACCAAATCTGAATCTAACAGCCATGGTGACACAGTCAACCCCTCTTGATTGGTTTCTTCATCTGTAAATGATAGTGTTGATTGGACTAGATGATATCTTAAATACCTTTCAACTCTAAATCCTATGATCTTGTTCCTTAAAGCTCTCTTGAGAACTTAGGGCATTTGCTTGTTTTTCCCCTATTAATGATATGGCTTAGCATGAGCACTAAAATCAGTCTTACATTCTACAGGTTTCTCAGTAGGATGGTTAAAAAACTTCTACCTAAGCTTGAAAATCCAGTTGGAGCTTTAAAATGCTGTGATATGAAGAAACTATTTTGTTCTACCTGTGGACAAATGACTGGTGAAGCAGAAAAGTATTCATTTTTTCCAGAATGTGGATTTTGCTGGAAGAATTGATATTGTTCACAAATAGGTTTTTATTACCTTCTGTGTAAGACAAGGCTATTTTTTCATTTCTTTTGTTAAATGGGACAAATAAAAGTGTCCTAAGTGCCACCAACAGGGTTCAATTTATTGCTCTGTACTTTAGAAAAATTCCATAATAATTAAGATATTGGTTTCTTAATCCAGTTCTGTCATTGGTGCTGAATTTACCATTAATATTGAAAAAATTTGACTTGGCACTTTAAGGCCTAAACCTAGTTCAAAATCTGTTGTCTTAATAGATAAGCAGAACAGTCAACAACAAATAGCACACTGGGAGGCGCTGGGGAGATCTTAACTGCATCTTTATGTTGAAGGTGTTCACTTAGAAGAAAAAGCAAGGTTGTTTTCCTTGAAAAATTGTCCTGTACGTCGGTGTTGTTAATGATGTTGAATATTATCATATGTATAAAAGGTGTTAAGTGTATACATTGTACCTTAAGAATTGTTGGTGCCTCATGGAAAAAAGTAGTTTACTTTTTATGTAAAGACAAGGTATTTGTGCATCTTGGTGGAGTTAACAGAGATATTTTTCCTTTCTACTGTTAAAAAATATTTCCATGAAAATTCGGATTATATTTTTGTTCCAGAAATATCTTTGTTGTATAATTTGTTGTAAATGGTATGATCTGCAGTGGATTGATACAAAGAATAGATGCATGTAAAGTAGCAAGAAGATGATCCCGTCAGCCCTTGCTTCTTTGCTATCCTCCCCACTAGCCCCAAGAGCAGAAACACAGCGGCTCTAGGAGCTCTCTATATATTGTAGATGAATATTGAAAAAAATGTTGGTAAATGTTAAGAGTTGGGTTGGTTTTTCAAGAGGTGCCAGTTGTAACTTGAGGTGAGTTTGCTTACAGGGTTGTTTCATTTTACTCTGAAGAATGATATGCCCTGTCAGGAAGGCCACATGCTTGGAGCTATTTTTCCTTTGATAGCGATGGATTATGCTCCACTTACAACCAGTAGCCTCTGTTGGCAAGACAGTCATCTTGGGTTTGGGGTGTAGTCTTTGTCTTAGGATATAGCAGACCTTGCTAGTGTCATGCTGTAACCAACTCTGCTGACTAGTCATAGATACCATGAAGTATATAACTGTTTTAGTAGTAGAGAAAGCTGGGAGACATTGAACCTATGTTAAGTGATGAAAGAAACCTCCATAGCTACCAGTGATAAAAATATTAACAGAACTACTTTTCTTAAAAATTAAAAACTAAATAGCAAAAACATAGTTAAAAATCAAATTAAATAAAAATCCTTTTTATTAGCTAGAGTCTAGTAATACCCATATAATTTTGTTAATAAAGCTCTTCCATTGTAATTTGAGTTACCAAGCTGGGATATGGTAGGTGACACTTTTTGTCCTCTTCCTTTCAGTCACTCATATTCCTTCCTTACCCCTCTGCAGACTGTAGGATTGGCTGAGATGTGATTTCCAGCATCTTGATCTTCATTCGTCTGTCATTGTTACCTGGTTTGACAGTATTAAATGTTCAAGAAACCTACATTTGGAAGCTACTGTGATCATTTCTCCTTCAGTTGGTATCTAGAAGCCATCTCCAAAACACAGTATGATAGTTTTCACAGCAGTTCACTGCTATTGTGACATAAAAAGTCAGAATTTTTTTTCTCTTACAAAAACAAGTTGTCATTTTTAGCAGTAGTTTTTAAAAATCTTGATTTTTACCAGAAAGCTACATGAGATTTACAGTGTGTGTTGTTTACAGTTTTTGTTGCTCCATATAGTTACTTTTTTCAGAAGTCCTATCTTTGAGTATGCAGAAAAGTTTTGTTTGGAGCTGTTTTATCTGTTTACTAAAATATGGATTTGAGACTTAAGTCTGCAAGTTATCTCTTCTTAGAAATTTTCAAGCCTAGCCACACCCACCTGATTCACACCCCTTAAATAAATTCTCCAGAATGTCAGTTGTGTTACATTGATTTGTTTGTTTTTTATGAAACACTTGTAAATATCAAGTATGCAGCTTGCATCTTGTCTGGATGGAATATTACTGCCTTGTGCTGCATGTGGCCGAGTTTTATTAAGGGATCTGGATTTGGGAAGAAAACAAAATGATATATCTGACTCTGTGCTTCTTAAGAATCCTGTACCTCACATAGTTGTGAAGATCAAAAGGAAACAGTTTGAAATGCTTTTAAAACTCATGGGCTGTACAAATATAAGGTACCATTATTCTATTTTCCCATACATGCTGTCAATTTTTAACTCAGTGGAAATAGTCTGATGCTGAATACATTTCAGGTTATAGACTCTACATAGAAAGAGGTAAGTTTTAAGGGTGTTGGGGGTGAAATTCAAGAAAAAGTATTTTCCCAGGGTCACAGCTTGGGGATGAAGTGCCAGATGGAATGCTTTGACTGACTTGTTTGCTTTCCCTCTCCTTTGATTGGTCTGACTTTGAAGTTTAGGGAAGAGCTAAATACAGAGGCAGAATGATCTTTGGGGAAGAGACCCACAACTGGCCACCTAAAATTGGTGGAAAAATTAGTTCTGGGAATTTTTAGTGTTTGAAATAAAAAAGCTACTGTTACTACAGATAATTTAGAGAAGAGCTTTCTTTGACTTTGAGAGTATCTCAAGACAGGCTGACTTAACAGGATTTCAATAAATAGATTTTTAAGCCTGGTTTTTCTTTAGAGAAAAAAGATTGAGAATATTCTTTGTTGGATCGTGTTAATCCCTTCATGGGCCAATTTCAGAGTTTTATTTAAGAGATACAATTGGATTACCTGCATTTCAAAATCTTGGCCTTAGTCAACACTAGCTAGGTCTTCCCACGTGCTTGCCTTTTGGCTATCCTGCTGTTTGCAGTTTTAGTCAGAGGAACTGGCATAAGGCTTTCATGAAAGAAGTCAGTTTCTGTTGTTTCTCTAAATGAAAATTCAGAAGGAAGAGGTTTGAAATCTGGATTCTGGCTATACTTCACGCAGCCTATTTTACAGACACACACACACACACACTCTGTCACTCACATTCTTATGGAGAGAAGGTGTCACTTTACACCTAAATCGCCTTACTAAAAACCACCTTTTCCTAGGTTATTGAGCTGACTAATGCCCTTTAAGCTCACCTTTCTTGCAGCTTTGTTTCTTAAACTTGCCATTCTGGACGAGGTTGATTTCCCCCAAGGTAAGGAAGTACAAGACTGCCACCTTTAGGGAATCGTATAAACTAGCAATCGATCACTAGGATTGATCCTGGTCTGCCACCAGTAAACCAGGTCATGTTGCCACTGAAAAAATCCTGGCTTTGCATATTCCTCCTTTAAAGTCTTTTCCAGATATGACCCTTCAGCATACACTGAAAACACTCTATTTGATTATCCAGTGTTTTTAGGCTCAGAAACAATACGCGATCTTTTAAAGCCAATAATATTTATAATGAAGAAATTAAATTTCCCAGTTCTTTAATCCTGAAAGAATCAGTCTCACAAAAAATATCAACTGCCCCATTTTTATTTTCATTGTCATTGGATAACTACATGAATTCAATGAATTTAGCTCCTAGTGAAGCTTCTTAGTTGAAATCCTGATAACTTACAGAAATAATCCACCAAGATTTTAATTTATTCTATACATCTCTAGACACAGCGGGATGATGCCACTTCTTGAAGTGTTATCTTCTGAGTCTAGTGAAGGCAAACACAGAAAAGTACATGTAGCCCCCTCTAAGGGCTTGCTCTGTAATATTGGAGGAATATCGGGGACAAAATGTGACTTCTAACACAAACACTTATTCTGTATGTGCCGCTAAAATTTCAGTTCCCAATATTATTTCATAACTATAAAATTCTATAGTTAAAGATTTCAAAAAGTACAAAGTTACATTAATCCTGACCCTAATATATACCTTACCCACCTTGGTGGATTTGGATGTTGTCTCGTCTCTATAGATAACAGGCAAAGTTCAGTTCTGAAGCCGTTCGTTAGACTTGTTTATTAATATAAATCCATTCTTCTCTGGTATAAAAACACTTGTTTCCCCAAGCAATCAGTATAAAAATGGTAAGGGGTTAGTTTTTTCCCTAAGAATATTCTTCTCATACTCAGAAAACATAATGGTAGAGCTTACTGCCTCTTAGTGAGTGGATCTAAAGTGAGAGGGAAAAAATGATCCCATGGCTTACTAAGCTGTCTTTTTAGTCTGCTTCACCTCACTTTTTGGTTTGTTTTATTAGATTATTTGTAGCATACTTAGTTGTCAAATACTAAGTGCTAGTTAGCTTTCAAACTATTTGTCTTGGACTTCCCAGAGTGAAAGATTCTCTACTTTAATTATAGAAGGAAGGTTTTCAGGCAGTGCTTTTCAACGGAGTCCTTTATGCCCTACATGGTTTTTCATGCCTTCTTAATGGACTTGCTTAGATTACTAGTGAAGCAGCCAATCCTCATTTAGAGGTTGCATGGACACTTTTCATGGGTGTATGGGGAGGAAGAAAACATCTAAGGAAATATGAAAAAAAATGCAACTATATCTGATGTTTTATACTCTAATTAAGGATAACATTCCTTAAAGTATGTCAAAGCAGCCATTATTTTGAGCACCTACAGTTCAATGGAGTTTGAGAGCACCAAAAAATTAAGTGGTTTCCTGACATCCTTGCTTGCTCCATTGGGATAGTAATTGAGTACAAAGCCATAAATGGAAAAGTACACACTTTTCTTTTGGAGAAATAGGGACAACTGAATGAAGATCAACATGAATGTGTTCTTGGAAGTATTTTTTAATGAAAACCTCTGCCAATAGTTGTTTTATTTCCACCTATATTTTTAATCCCCAAATGATCCTATCCAACACCTTAATGAGTTCACCATATTATTCTCTGGAAATAGCTATCTTTTCTTTTCCCCTTGAGGTCTTTCCTTGGCAGCTTTAGCCCTTTAAATAGGACAAGTTTTATGCTTTGGCTTCAATTTCCAAAAATGTTCTGCAGTTCTAGGCTCTTTGACTCCTAATTAAGTCATATTCTGATCTAGGCACACATTCTGAAAGCAATAGTGAACATGTATGGTGATGTTAGTAGGGGAGAATACTGGATTGGGAATCAAAAATGGAGCCAGAAAGTTACAGGTTTAAAAAAAAAAAACACCACCTGGGACCAAAGAATGCCACAAGAAAAAAAGGAACACAAGTAGATCATGATATAAAAGAGAGAAGCCATATTCGTGTACACTTAACACTACTCATCAATTCTCTCCCACTACTAAAATAATACTACTGTGCCTTAGTAGTAGTCAAAAGATTTTTGCCTCAAAACTTGAGTCAATTGCAACAAATTGTTATAAGAACCAGAAAAGATATGGGAAACGTACATGCAAAAATCTGAAAGGAGTCTGCTATTTATGAATAAGGCTTAACTCAATTCAGTATGCACTTAGAAGACACTCTCATTGATTGCTTAGGCATTTTTATAAGTATTTTTTTCTTTTTCCTTCTGGAATTTAAACACTGCTTGTAACAGGGCCTGTACCATCATGGCATGGCTATATCATAAATCTGAGATGGGAAGAGTTTTCCAGGTATTTGGCTGGGATGGGCTAACCTACTTTAACCACATTTTTAGTTAAGTAGAATAAAGATTCCCTTGCTTTTCAAAGAATAAAAACTTAAGCAACAGGAAAACTTGACCCCAAGGGGAAAATAGGCACTACTTTTCTACTGAATCCTTTCAGACTGAGTTAATTGAGTCTTTAATCTAGTTTCAAACTAACAAAGTTCAAATGGTTCCAGTAATATTTTAACATAGAACTCAATGCCCCTGTTCCTCAAAACTACTTTTTTAAAACCCCCAAACCAACTTGCCTGCTCTAGTGCTCTTAATCCACCCACAGAACTCCACCAGACAATGGCTGGGCTTATGAAAGGATCAAAACCACCACATGGCCCTAAAAAGGTTGTTTCCATGGAAACAAGCATATACCCTCATTGAAAATGACTTTACCTTTCTCTTTGGGAATTTTAGTGCTTAAATATCTATCTTTGATCCAAAATGGCTTATTGTGCTTGCCACATATTATTGGGAAACATTACAAAACCAAGATATTAAAGATGTTCCAACTTAGTGCTTTTGGCATGACTCTTTACTAAACAGCTGGACATCAAATATTTGACTCTTATACACCTTGCTTGTGTCTGAATTACAATCAGCTCCTTTCCACAAAGGCAATATGTTACAAGATTTGATACCTCAAGGCCACTGACGTGACAATATAATTATCTACTTAGTAATTCTAGTCAAGCATTAAGGAGTTCATCATCTGAGTGTCCGATGGCATCTGGATTTGAAAGGGGATCCAGGTCTGCAAAGAGGTTAAACCAGGCTGACATATCTTGATTATTTCCACCTTCTGGAGCTGTAAGAAAAAAATGAAAAAAAGTGACATTAAAGATGTGCAGTTTACCATCTTAGTATATCTTATTTTGATAGTACTTTAACAGAAACTAATTAGATGCTTCCTTTAAAGAAATAATAGACAACATGATAAATTATCAATTATAGTAATTATCAAATTATAAATTTCTGCACTTAATTTTTCTCCGATTTTAAAACAACATCATGTAGATGGCACTTCTCACAGTAGAATATAATTGTCAGTTTTAGTCCAAAAAGTTTTCTCAGAGATTTGTCAACGTCCTGAGTGCTTGTACAGGCCTGGCAGTGATACAATACAGCTTTCTGTCTGAGTGGGACAGGTAGGAGAGGAAGAACTTGGAAAGTCAGGGTAAGAGAGGTATGAAAAGAGGAGGGATTTGTAGAATGCAGACCTCCGGGGAGTCTGTATTCCCCGCTCCCACGCACAGACCTGAGGAATGGCTGAGGGTGAGGAAGGACGCCACAAACTTAGTGGCTTTTGAGACAGAAGGAAAGGAAAGGGTTGTTTTTTAAATTTCAGAACCAAAACAAAAATCCGAGGGTAAAAAATAAAGAAGACAGTTGGATAGTGAGGTGGAGGTAGAAGAATAAGTCCCAGGCTTAGAAAATGTTTCTCTAATCCCTACTACATTAAGGGAGAGGAAGAGAGGAGAGCAGGCAGAAGGGTCTGAGGATCAACTAAGGGCTCCCGTGACTCATGAAAACTGCTAGGGGCATAGGGGCCCCCTGTAGTGTCTCCTGCCCCACCCCCAGGTGTCTACCTGAGATTCATCAGAAGGGAGGCAACCTGGGCTAGGGGAAAGAGGATGGAGGATGTGACTATTGCATCAGAGCTGGGTGGCCCGGGGATGGGAAGTGAGGGGAGGGACACTAGCTGTACTTCTGGGCTCTTTCATTTGTGCCAAGAAGGCTGAAGGTTAGAGGCCAAATCCAAAGTGGACAGCGGTGGGGGAGGGACAGGGAGTGAAGGTGGAAGCAAAGAGAACAGCCTGGGAAGAAAACTGAAAAGCAACTAAAGATACTGTATTTCACTGAAGACCTCTGGGTTACACTTAAATAACTGCTGGCTACCTTAAGAAATTGCAAAAGTGAGTATAAAAATAAAAGTGAAATAAGACAAAAGTATAAAGTCCCTATTGGGAGGTAGAAATTACCTAGGTAGGTCAGTGCTTGCCTGATACCACGTTGCAAAGGCTCTCAGGTATGATTCAAGATTAAGGCTAATACCTACACCTAAATTATAGACAATAATATATTTAGAAATAGATTTTTAACCAAAAATCTGATGATAGTTTAAAAGCAAGACATAGAATGCATCTATAACTTTATTATGTCTTTGAACATTTAGTTACAACTCAGTGCCAACTCCAAACCTACTTAAAACTCTAAAACTGGCTTGTTTTAGCCTTTATATTAGCCCATACTCCTTTTTATTTGAGTAGCTTGTCTTACTTTGACTGGAAGGTTGGCAGGGATTAATTTGGACCATAAAAATGGTTGTAACTTAAGAGACAAATATACCTTATCTACATGATTCTTAGTGCAGTGATCACTTTTGCTACCAATACCACTATGCTGTGGTCCCCTGGAGAGGTTAGAAAATCACTATTCTGGTATTTTTGAAGCCCTAAATTCTTGGAACATGATGAAAATTTTGAGATTTTACTTAATTTAAATATGTACTCAAAATTGAACAGCTGTTCTGTTCATGGGCAAAATGTTGGGCATTGGCTCCTATCCTGCAATCTGGGTAATGATCTTTAGACATACAAGCCAATGAGTTAGAGTGAGAAGCTCGTCTACTCAATTTAAATATTCACTATGATGACAAATGGTACAGCTTTTTTCCCCCCAATTTCCTTTTGATTCGGCAAAGCATTCTGTTCATTATGTGGAAAACACTAGGCCACTGGTACTCTTGAAAAATATTTATCTGACTCCTATTGTTTCTTTTTGTGAGAGTAGAAGATGACTTACATATTGGTGATTTCTTTGGTTTACTCTGTGAAGGCACAGGCTGGTTATCAGAATCCGTGTGTGAAAGAGAAAATACTGATTCCCCCTGAGAGGTCCAGCCTTAAAGAAAAATTAATGAATTGTTAGACACACATAAAAAAAAACATCACAAAAAAGGAAAACAAAAGATTTGAGATCCTCTAAGATTTTTTTTTTTTTTTGCCAACAGTAAAATATTTCTTTTGGGCAGCTAGGTGGCACAGTAGATAGTGAGCTGGGCCTAGAGTCAGTAAGACTCTTCTTCCCAAGTTCAAATCCATCTCAGATATTAACTAGCTATATGACCCTGGGCCAGTCATAACGCTGTTTGCTTCAGTTTCCTCGTCTGTAAAATGAGCTGGAGAAGGAAATGGCAAACCCACTCTAGTATCTTTGCCAAGAAAACCTCAAATGAGGTCATGAAGAGTCAGACGTGACTGAAATGACTGAACAACAAAATATTTCGATAGCACAGAGTGCATGAACTTCTATTTCATGCAGCAGTGTATAAGCTCTACTCCAGCTCTGCCACAGCTTGATGTACTTGACCTGTGTGAATCCTGGTTTTCACATCTACAAAATAAGGTTATCTCATCATAGTGGAGAGAAGGCAGAAATAATCAACTCCATTACTCATCTGTGCCTTAGGAAGCGACTCTAACAGGTGATATAGCCTTTCTAAATTCAGAATGATGCTATAGCACCAAGAGGTGAATCGCTCTCCCCAGGAGGATGGCATTGTAGAAAGAGCCCTGGCCTTGGCCAGAGATGAACAGAGTTGGAATCCTCCCTCTGCACTTATAACAGGTGGTCTTGAGAAAGGTATTTACCTTTTCTGCATTTGAGGTTTGTCATCTGAAAAAAAGGGTTTGACTGTTTATTTTCTAAAATACCTTGAACCTCTAAACCCTGCACTGTCTGAAATTTCCCAACTTCAGAGTTTCTATTTTATTATGCTGGCCATTTATGAACTGACAGCTTCAAAAACTACATATTAAAATTAATCTACAAATGCCTGGATGCCTGCACAGACACTTATGTTGTCTAAAAGTTTCAAGTTTTTTAAGATAGCTCCCATGGCAGAGTTACAGGTTATAATTGAGGTCATTTGTGAGTAAAGGGCCACCTATACAAGGATAATGATGAAGATAAACTAACTGAAGCTGGGGGATGACCAAGAAGAAATGGGGGAAAGCAAATGATTTCAGGGGTGAACATTTTATACACAAATTGATTGGTAGATATAGGAATGTAAGTTTTGCAATGTTAATTCTTAGTAAACTTGAGAGGTCTTCATGTGGACTCACATTAAGGTTTTGCTTGTCAAATACATATATCAAAATATATATAAATTATATATACAAATATATAAAAATATACATATACTACATACACATAACAAAATAATCTGAAACACTTACTACTGAAATTTCCAGCAGCATGGCGGCCCAGGTCAAAGAGTTGCGAAGGGAGAAATCCCGATGACTTAGCAAGAGGCTCTGCTCCTGAAGCAGAGTTCTGGGCAGGGAGAACAGTGCTGGGGCTCCCACAGACATTGTGGCATTCTTGGTTAAATTCTCCAGTACTTGAGGAGCTGGGACTCAGTAGGTTGTTCAAAAATGAGAATTCCTTCTCAAAATCCTCTCCTTCCAGGGAATCTACAAGAAGATCTTTTGCAACTATTTTAGGAAAAATTAAAAACAAAAGAAAAATGAAATAATATATAGAGCAAAACAATGAGCAAGAGAAGAATGCCTAGCTCAGCGTCATCACTGTCATACTAGGACTCTTTATTGACAAGCCTCTGTAGCTCAAAAGCATTCTCAGCTGGAGAGGTGTGTATTAAAAATCACAACTACACGTGCTTAACAATAGTACACTTCTGTAAGTTATTAAATATCAGCATGATAGCAAGAATACTTTAAACTGACCTACCTAATTTGCTGAATATATAAGAAACTAAGTGCAAATAAGTAAATAGTAAAAGTTCTTGATAAGGGATTAGCACATTTAGCTGCCTTCATTTCTGCCAGGTGATGTACTCGGGGTCATGTGGACACTGAAGGAACTTGTTTACTTGACTATTTGGTACAAAGGATTTTTTAAAAAATTATTTTTCAGTGGGTGGGGGGAGGTAAGAGGGAAAGGAGGTAGGTTTTCATCAATTAAAAAATAATATTAAGTTTAAAAAGGTTACATGTAGCAAAGAATAAAAGGGAAATAGTTAATTGGGAGAAAAAAACCTTTGCAGCAAGTTCCTATGATAAAAGTTTCATTTTCAAAATATATAATGATTCAGATTTGTAAGAATAAGTGCCATTCTCCAACTGACAAAGGGTTAAAGGATACAAATTGGCAGCTTTCTAAAAATGAAATCCCAGCTATCAATAGTCATAAGAAAAAAATGTTCCAAATCACTAATAATTAGAAAAATGCAAATTAAAGCAACTCTGAGATTCCACCCCATTCCAATCAAATTGACAACGTTGATAAAAAGAAGCAAAATGACAAAAACTGGAGGAGCTGCGGGAAAACAGGCACATTAATGCACTGCTCGTAGGTAGCTCTGTGAACTGGACCAACCATTCAGTAAAGTAACTGGAACTATGCTCCAAAAGTTACTAACTCGTATCTGTCCTTTATTACAGTGATACTCATTAGGATTAGATCCCAAAGGGATCAAATAAGAAAAAGACCTATATTCAAAAACAGTTATAGTAACTCATTTTGTGGTGGTAAAGAATTGGAAATTGAAGGGGTGTCCATCAATGCAGGAATGGCTGAATAAATTATGTGACACGAATATAATCGAACATCTTTGTGCCACAGGAGATGACAAAAGAGATGGTTTCAGAGAACCGGGGAAGACTTATATCCACTGACAAAAAGTGAAGTGAGCACAACCAGGTGAATAATGGATACAATAATAACATTATAAAGACAACACTTTCAACTCTGATCAGTGCAATGACCAGCAACAACACTAGAAAACCAATGACGAATGCTATTCACCTCCTGAGAGTGATGGAGAAAAGACATAGAATGATAGATAACATTTTCACATGATCAACGTGGAAATTTGTTTTAACTATTCATATGGCTTAGAAGAGTTTTTTTTTTATTTTTAATGAGGCGAACATAGGAAAGAAAATAAATGCTTATAAGTCATTGTACATCTTTGAGAGCGCTCTTTAGAGTATTGAGGACAGAAGCCAGATGGTTAGGAGTTAAATTGGGGAAGTGAAAGCAATGAGTATAAACCACTCTTTCAAAAGCTTCAACAGTAAAATGAAGGAGATAGAATGATAGAGAAGATGAGGTTTGATTTTTTTAAAAATGTACTTGGTAGGTTGAAATGTGTTTACAGGAAGAGGGGAAGCAGGCCATAGAGAGGGAGAAAGCAAAGCTATCAGAAGAAGTCATTCTACTGGACCCTGCATGCTCAAGCCCCTCCCTGGCACCCTTGTGCTATCACCAATCTTGCCTTGCCAAACTCCAACTTTAAATTGGTCCTCTACTGCTCACCTTTGTTCCTACTTGCACTGCTAAGGAGAGCTGGAGGAAATCACAAAGCCATGTGGGCTGGGTCCACTACAGATTTATTACCAGATCTCAAGTAGGCCCTCCCTGCAGCAAAGTGGATTTTTTATACATCCCTAGTTGATTGGCCTTGCCCCTTCTGGGCAGTCATTTCATACCTTTTCACTACTCCTCAAGTCTTCCCCAGTGTTCTCTCCACCCACCCTCTCAGCAGAGGAATTCACCTTCTTCTTCTTAGAAGAGAGGCTCCCTCTGCTCCCCTCCACCTCATCTCATGTCACTCCGATGTCCTCCCCCATTGTCTCCTCTTGCACCCTTGCCTAACATGAACAGGTGGTCAAACCTCTCTACATGCACCCTTGACCCCATCTTTTGCAGCAAATTGTACTCACTATCATTCCCATTCTTGCTACTTTTCAGTCTTTTCCTTTCTGCTGGCTACTTCCCCATTGCCTTCAGCATCTGCCCATATCTCCCCCTCATGTAATCCCACCATCATCCCTGCCACATATCATGCTGCATCCTTCCTCCTCTTTGTGGATAAACTTTTGTTGAAAGCCATCTATACAAGGCACTTCCACTTCCTTTTCTCTTACTTGATGCTAAATCCTCTGCAGTCTGACTTTTGACCTCATCATTCAACTTAAATTGCTCTCTCCAAAGTTAGCAAAGATTCCTTAATTGCCAAATCTAATGGCCTTGTCTCAATGCTCATCCTTCTTAACAGCTCTACAACATGTGACACCAATCACTCTCTTCTCCTTATATCCTCCCTAGGCTTTCCTCCTGGTTCTCTCTTCATTTCCCTCCTGCCCTGTTCCTGACTTTCTGGACTTCAAAATCAGCCTTTGCTATCTCATCCCATAACTTCCTTCAGGGTCTCAGGCTTCCTCACCCTGGAACATCCAACCTTCCCTGCCATCTTCTCATGCTGTAATATGTCTCCCTAAGGCCTGCCCCTTTCTCTCTTTGGTGAGTTCCTGCTGGAGCCTCTATTTTGTGGCAGGGGCTAAGCTGGTCCATCTTCATTACCCCCTTCGCTCTGTTCCTGACTTTCCAGATTTCAAAACCATGCCCCCACATCAGCTCATCTCTGCCTGCCCCCTCTCAGCTCCCTTTTTTATGGGTTGTCTTCTTCAATGAGAATGTAATCTCCTTGAGGGCAGGGACACTCATTCTGCTTGTATTTGTATCACCAGTGCTTAGCACTGGGTCTGGCACACAGTAAGTGCTAAATAAGTACTCTTTCTTTCCTTCCTTTTTTTTTTTTCCCCTTCTTCACTCTGTAAGAGGAAGAAGGGGACCTGTCTGATTGTTCCTCAGTCCCATAATAGAGAAGACAGGGTTTGATTTTTTAAAAATGTACTTGGTAGGCTGAAATGTGTTTATAGTAAAAGGGGAAGCAGTTAGTAGAGAGGGAGAAAGCAAAGATAGCAGGAGTCATTCTTTGGCAAGGCCACATTCACTGAACATGAGAGTACCTCAAGGCTCTTTCTTGGGCCCTTTTTTATTCTTGTATATATTTCATGTAGTTATATAATCAGCTGTCATGGTTTCAAATATCAGCTCAATGCAGATGATTCCCAAATCTATATATCTCACTTCTCCCCTGAGCTACAATCTCTCATCACCAACTGTCGTTTGGCTGTCTTTCAAACTGGACGTCCTATAGATATCCGAAATTCAACATGTCAAAACCAGAACTCGTTATCTTTTCTCCCAAACCCTTTCTTCTTCAGAATTTCTTAGATACTGTTAGGAGCACCACCATCTTTTCAGGAACCCAGGCTTGCAACCTTGATGTCATTCTCAACTCCATCAGTAGTCCACCCTATCCCCAGTCTGCTGCTACGTCTTGTTCTTTCCTATTCTTCACAACCTCTGTCACACGCCTGCCCTTCTCTCCTCTCACACAACTGATGCCATGGGACAGGCCTACATCACCTCACGCTTGAACTACCACAGTAACCACCTGGTTGGTCTCCTTGTTTCAATTCTCCAATCCATCCTCAGCTGCCCAAGCGATTTTCCTAAGGCACAAGTCTGAGTGACCATGTCACTGCCCACCCCTTATTCAGTAAACTCCAGTGGCCCCTTATTACCTCCAAGATCAAACATAATACCCCATTTGGCTTTTAAAGCCCTACACAAGTTGGCCCCTTCCTACCTCTAAGTCTCCTCGTACTTTTCCCTCCTTCATGTCCTCTACCCTCTAGCAATGCTGGTCCCCCAGCCCATCGCTCCATCACTCTACTCAGTGACTTTTCACTGACCATCTCCCCCATGCCTGGAATGTTCCCCTTCTTCACCTCTGGCTCCAGTCTTCCTGCAAGACTCAGCTCAAATCCCACCTTCAACTGGTCTTCTCCTCCTTCCTTCTCCCAACATCCCTATCACTTCCTTACCTCTGAGATTATATACCATTTATCCTGTAAATAACTTATAGGCACAAGTTTTTTTCTTGTGGTCCCCTCCATTAGTTTTTGGGCTTCTGGAGGGCAAGGGCCACATTTTTGCCTTTGTTTCTATCCCCAGAGCTTAGCATAGTACCTGACACATAGTAAATGCTTAATTCTGAACTGACTGACTGATGGTAAGGACCATATGAGCAGAAAGAAAGGGATGGATTCAAGAGATGTCATAAAGATAAAATCTACATGACTCACAGCTGATGGAATGTGGAGGCAAGGAAGAGGAAAGAGTCAAGGATGACTTCCGGGTTACAGATCTGAGGGACTGTGGGTTTAGTGATACTGCCCAACAGTAATTGGGAAGTCTGAAGGAAGAGCAAGTATGGGATAAAGATCATGGTATCACACATCATGAATTCTACTTTGGACATATTTAGTCTGAAGTGCTGAGGAAACAACTTCTATTTCCAACTGCCTCCTGAATGTCACCCAGGTGCTCTGTGAATACCTCTAAAATGTACAAAACTGAGTGTCACTTTCCCTCAAAGCATCCTCTTCCTCTTCACTTCCTCTAGTTTTGTCAACGTGTGTGTGTGTGTGTGTGTGTGTGTGTGTTGTCTCCCCTCCTAGGTTGTAAGTTCCTCGAGAGAAGGGATTGTTTCATTTTTTCTTTTTGTCTTTAGATCCCCAATGCTAGATTACAGGCCTACTGCCTACAGCATAGCTGAGAATTCATTTACACATGCTTCTTGACTAACTGATGAAACAAGGTGATGATCCCATGATACTCTAATCAGACCACTTCTGGAGTATGGCTGTAAGAGAAGGAATGGTCAACATTGGAAAAGTCTGGCAAGTGGTAGATGTTTTAGGAGAAAACAAGTTTCTGTGAGTGAGGAAAGTTGAAGGGAGTATGAAGGAAGAAATATAGGAAAAAGGGAAGTTGGTTAGTGAGTTTCAGAGAGCACAGTGGAAAGGGGCAAAGGAAAGGAATGGAAGAGATGTAAAGCTGAGCTGTGTAGGAATGTCAATGTGGGAGAAGTAGTAGGAGAAAGGGATTGTCACCAAAGAAGACACAGATGTTGGTTCTAAACCACAAGGATAATAGGAGCAGGATTTACAGGAGTTTGCTAGCCACAGTGGGGAGGTCAGGGGAGACAAACAGGGAAAAGTCTGTGAACTAAATGTCATCTTTATATCTTTGTCTCCTTCATCCCACCTTCACATTCATATCATCAATTATGGTATCATAATATATGATACTATATCATTATGGTATCAATTATCCTCTCCCATGCCTCATCAGTTTCTCTAGAACATGATAGGAACTGTAAAAATGCTCATTTGATTGAGTGGGTTAACACTATATATCTATCTATATATCTATCTATAGTTTCATGTTAACTGTGCAGAATAACAACGAGGCAGATCCCCAATTAAAGATTCAATTATCCTCTCTATACTTTCACTGGTGTCAGAAGACCTGGATTCTGAGAGAAATGATTATTTCTCTCTTATATTAATAATCAATTATTACATTAGGATTGAGGTTTTTTCCCTTCTTATTTCCTCATTCAGAAACCAGAAACCTGTAGGTTGTTCAGTCTCTGAAGGAAATTGTTGATGATGAGATTGCCCAAATTCCTGGGGTACATGCTTTTCAATACTGGGTGGGAGACTCCACCTAACTAGAGAACCTTACAAAGAATTTAGTCTAAGGTGAATTTTGGCCCATTGTGTTCTACTCAGGCAGGCTGGAGCAGGGAGATAGATCCTTTGTCTAGATTGCCCGAGGCTGGGGGTGGTTTGGCTTGACATAGTCTCTCTTTGTCCATGAGTGACATAATCAAAGTCATAACCCCCAGCCCCTCACTAGAATAAGTCTACCTCTCATTATAATATTCATTCTTCTCATTAATTGTTAACCAGAAATAATTGTCACCTGTTGGAAACACCTATTCTTCCAAGGGCATATAAATGTCAGGAAGTCACCATGATCCATCTTTGGCATTTGAGAGTGCCACTGACCTCTTTTATTAATTATCTGCTAGCATAATTAATAAGATGATTAATTTCCCAGAAATTATGTCTCTCTAACTTTTTATATGTCACAGATCCAATCCTATCCTCAGATGCTCACTACCTGTGTTACCTTGGGCAAGTCACTTGACTGCAGGTTCCTTATGTGTGTAATGAAAGGATTAGACTAGATGGTGTCTGGGGGCTCTTCCAGCTTTAGATCTATTATCCTACAATTCTATAAACACGAGAAACTAAACATCTCAGGGTCCTAAACTGGCAGGGCCTTTAATTTCTTACCATTTTCAGGTCCAGAAAACTGAGGTGCTTCAAACTCACTCATTTGAAAATGGTTTTCTTTATGACCTTCTGTTGCTGAAAGAAAATAAACACCGAGTTCAGGTTTAAAAAAAAAAAAGACACATAAAGACAGAACAGGTACATGTCTGCAAGTCCCAAAAGAATTGATTCAGCAGTGGGTGTTCCTCCTGTCCCTTCCCATGTTGTCTGTGGGTGGCCTGAAAAGGACCCTGGATTCCTGAAAAAAGGTTCTGCCAAGGTGGAAAGGTTTCACACATGGTGCTGGGGATGGACTGTATATCTGTGAGCTAACAACAAATCTAGCTAAGTTCCAGGTAGTGAACATTTCAGGCACAGCAACTCAGGATGTCTACTAAGTTAGAGAAGAGCTAGGACCTTTATTTGTGAATGACACCTACACTAGGGAAACTGTGGATCCTAGAAGTATACGTGATATTTATAAATCACAGAGTCAGAGTTGGAAAAAAAAAAATCCTCAGCCCAACCCCTTCATTCTACAAATGGGAAAAACTGGGGCTCAGAGAAGTTAAATAACTTGACCAAAATTATATAATCATTAAGTGGTAGAACCAGGACTTGAGCCAGGGGTCAGGACTTTAATCATCATCTAGTCTAACCTTCCTCTTTTGCAGATAAGGAAACTGAAGCCCAGACAAGTTGAATGATTCACCAAAGGTCCCACAGCTACCAAATGGTAGGTTAGCATTTGAACCTAAGGTCACAGAACCATAGGCTTAGAGAGCCCATCTAGTTCAACCTCTCATTTTAAAGACAAGGAAACTAAGACTTGACCAGTGTCATGCAGGGAGTAACCATCAGATGAGGACCTGGATTCTCTAACACCAATGCCAGTGTTCGTTCTGCTGTAGCACACTGCTGGTGTGTTTATAATGCATCTAAAATGGATGTGTGCTTTTCCACTCATCTCTGACAAGAACAAAGACTATGCTTAACAATCACACTGTCAACATCCCAGGAAATCTTTACATCTCTCTGAAATACTGAACAGTTATTATGAGGGTCCCTGAAGGAATACTGCAAAGGGATTTCAAAAACATCCATGTTGAGCTCAATCTCCTTGGGAAGAAGAGAAAAACTCACAAGTGATTAGGAACTGAAAAGAACTTGCAACAATCCCCACAGTCTTCAGTCATGTGCAAAACATGCTTCAAAGGCGTCAGCTCAGGTTAACTCAAGAGAATGGTTCATTTGTGGAAATCAGAAACTCCTTAAGTGAAAAATATATCCAAAGAGCAAACATGAAAACAGATGCTGCTTATGCTGTTTCTCAAGCTCCTAAAGATGAGTTAATTCTTGAAGGAAATGATACTAACCTCATCACAAACTCAGCTGCAGGCCACGACAGTAAAAAAAACAATATCAGAAAAATTTTGGATGGCTCCTATGTTTGTAAGAAAGGCACAGTGTGGGGCAGCTAGGTGGCACAGTGGATAGACCACCGGCCCTGAAGTCAGGAGGACCTGAGTTCAAATCTGGCCTCAGACCAAACACTTGACACTTACTAGCTGTGTGACCCTGGGCAAGTCACTTAACTTCAATTGCCTAAAACAAAAACAAACAAACAAACAAACAAAAAAAGAAAGGCACAGTGCATGAGGCTGATGAATAAATTTGAAAATTGATATAGATGCCAAAGTGACCTGTCACTCAGATGTTAGAATAAAATGCATTCGACCATCTGGGAATGTTCTCTTTTTGAAAAATCTGTTGCCTCCTTGAGAAATGAAAACATTTTGTTTTAAAATGTTTTGAAATAGGCCAGTGGTACAAAGATGTTAGGCAGATGACCCTACGTTCTTGTAGTCAAAGCCCGGATTCTGGGAGGTCTTTCTACCAAGCTAGTAAAGCTTTGAATATGAAATCTTTAATTAAGCTCAGAACATCTCCCCACCAGAAGCTTTAAAACCTATTTCTATACAGTAATAAAAGATTGTTTTTAAGAGTGGGATGTGCCATCATCAATCATTTTTTAAAGCAATTTGGAATTATGCTAAGAAAATAAAATGTCCATAACCTTTGATCCAAATGTAGAAGAAAACAAGTATGTTTTACTATGGTCTGCTATGCAGTACTGTGCTAAAGACTTTGCACATATTATCTCATTTGAGATTTCACAACAACTCTGGGAGATGGGTGCAATTATTATCCCCATTTCACAATTAAGGAAACTTTGGGAAACAGGTAAAGTGACTTGCCCAGGGTCACACAGCTGAATGTAGAGTGCATGAAGAGGATACTAGACAGCTCTTCTCTATGTCCACAGGCGTCCAAACAAAAGGAAATAGTGAAAAAAAATTCTTTTTTCTCCTTTTCTTTTTTTTTCACTTTTTTTTTTTTAGGCAATTGGGGTTAAGTGACTTACTCAGGGTCACACAGCTAGTAAATGTCAAGTGTTTGCTCTGAGGCCAGATTTGAACTCAGGTCCTCCTGACTTCAGGGCTGGTGCTCTATCCACTGTGTCACCTCGCTGCTTCGTGAAAAAAATTTTTTTTTAAATTTCAAAAAAGGAAATAATCTTAAACAAATGCAAAAATATTTTGGTTCAATATAGGGAAGAATTTATTGACAATAAAAATGACAAGACATTGGAATGGACCATGGAGGGAGGAGTGTGGAATCCCTACCTCTAGAAAAATCTCCATGAGGGAAAAGAATAGAGAAACTTTTTGAAGGGCTTTTGAAGTTTAGAGAATGGGCCAGAAGATTTTTCTTAATTCCCTCCACCTTTATTATCCATAGGATTTTTCAAATAAACTTAAAGTGACCTGAAGTTTCTTCTTATGTACATCAATTATTCAAAAGTCAAAATTATACTAGTAAAAGATGCACTGTCCCTTTAAGGCCCCATGTACATGGAGCAGTTTAAATATGAAATGGACAGAAAAAGTATTTTTGTGTAAAGGAAAAGATTTACATCAATTGTTAAAGGAAACAATATATAATTTCTACAATAAATATTCTGATACCTAAAAGGAATAAGAAAAGTACTTCATTTTTTAAAAAGCACCTATTAATTAATATCTATATGAAGAAACAGCTTTCAAATGGGATTCGAACACTTTTAGTCAGAAAATGAATTAATGAACTATGGTGTAAATATTAAGCCTCAAATCAAAGAGTTTGATGTTAGAGGCAGAAGGCTAACTTTTAACAATTAAAAACTGGAAAAATGGGAACGAAAAGAAAAGGTTTCAAGGGCACCAAAGGAACAAGAGGACCTTGTTCTTGCCCTGGAGGGGGGGGGGACTCTAAAGCTACCTCAGCTCATGTACATGTGAATGTTCTATGATAAAAGAGGGCAAAACTAAAAAATGAGAAATCATATCAACTTTTGGCAACTAAGACACGATTGAAAAAAGATGATTGATTTGAGAAAGGAAATTTGGGAAATTAAATTATGACTTTTAAATAAGTCCTTGAGAGTCAGGAATCTCTCATTCAGCTCCTGAAGGATAATGATGCAGGAACCTGAAGGAAGAACCTGATAAGAACTGAAGACACAAGATGTGAGCAGTGATAGGTAGAACAATCAGCTGACAAGCATCTAATTAAATGATCATGATTGGCAGAGAATTGACTTCATTAGGCCAAGCTCCAGGAATGGCTGTCCGCTTACAGCTTAAAGGGTCAACAGGAACTGTGCTATGTGAGCTCCATTTTTACTGGTCAATTCAGTCTCTGAATGAGCGAATAACTGGCTGGGCCAGATGACCCTGAGATAGACGGTTTCAGGAGCTTTGCTGTTTTCTGGTTTAAAGAGAATTGCCATTTACAGTAAGAGGTAACATTTTTGGTGGTGAGAACAAAATAAAGGACTAAACATTTTCTTCAGTCCCTACTAATTCTCAAAATAAGACAAACCAAAAACAGAAAAAAAAAGGCAAAAGAAATATGTATGTGACAGATATACAGCGATTAGAACTGAATTAATCTACAAAAAAAGCTAAAAGCTTAAGAGCATTACAAATTAACATTAGAGAATGCTACTTATATGTTTACACAGTTTTCTTCTTCCACTGGCCTCCATACTCCAGCAGGGCCAACAAAATAACCCACATACTTATATTTTGGGACCTATGCTGAGACTTTTCTCCTGCTTCATGTTAGTACCCTATCCTGCACAGTATTTTGTGATCCATGTGCAACAAGCTGAGTACACACAATGTGAAAAGAATGGGAGGTAGAAAAGGTAGATGATTGAGTTTCTGGGTGCCTAGAGTGTCCCCTAGATTAAGAAAGCCAAAAGCTTCAGAGTCTCTGCTTGAAACACCTACTCAACCCTCCCCCAGCCCAGAAAAAAGCATCTGATTCAGCCAATCAGAAAACTAAATAAGCGACAGAATTGGCATAAGTTTCAATCTGCATGACTGCAAAGGACCTGAGGAAAAGGTACAGGAATTCAGCTGGGTCCAATCTTGACTCAACCAAAAATTACTTGGGGCAGGGTCCAAGGTAAATGAAAGGTAAATTTTCCAATGCTGAAGAAACCTAGGAAAGCTTTATTTTCCAGTTAAGGGGATAAGCCTTTCATTAATGGGGAAGGAGTCAGAAAGTGAGCAATAAGAGAATAAAAGATTTAGGAAGAAAATTCAATTAGAAACCTATAGCACAAGAAGCTAAATCAAAAGACACTAAAATTAAAAAGGAAGATGAATACTATAATATCCAAAAGATTACAAACCTTTCTAAATAAATATTGAAAGACAAAGGAAATTGAAGCAACACCTAATGAAACAGAATTCTATGGACTCCCAAGAGAGCATGAAACCACAGAAGAATATTCTGAAATCATTCAAGAGTTCAGTCAGAATCTTAAAAGTAGTTAGAAGAGGAAAATGGCAGAATTTGTGGCCTGCACAGTAGAAATAATTAGCAGAATAGGAAACTTGAATCCATGGTAGCAAGTCTCTCCAAAGAAACAAAAGAAGAAAAAAAAAACAGATTAGGAATATAAATATACTGAAATGAAGAACAATTTGGAAGAAGCAATAAGAAGAGAGGACGTTTAGAAGCAACTTAAGGATTACAGGCCCCTTTGAAGAACCTGATGACCTTCATGCAAGAAATAACATAAGAAAACTGTTCAGAACATCTGAATATGGCAAACAAAGCACCAATCATAATAACCCACAGATCGCCTCCAGAAAAAATAACCAGAAAGCCCTATGCTTCAAATTTTATTTGTTAAAATAAGCATTTATTAAGTGCTTACTATGTGCCAGACACTATGCCAAGTACTTTACAAATATTATCTCATTTCATCCTGAGATTAAACAACCCTACAAGATAGGTACTATTATTATCCCAATTTTATAGTTGAGGAAACTGTAGCAGACAGAGATTAAAGTAACTTGTCCAGAGTCACATAGCTATTAAGTGTTTAAGGCTGGATTTGATCTCAGGTCTTCCTAAATCCAAGCCCAGTACTCTATCTATTGTGCTAATTAGCTGCCTCAAGACACACAGTGGTTAAGTTTCACAATTCCAGTGAAAAACAACAAATTCTGCAAGCAGTCAGCTGAAATATCTTCAAATATGAAGGAAAGTATACTTGAAAAACACAAGACTATACCTCACAAACCAGAAACCACAGAAAGGAATGGAACAATATTTTCCAAGAAGCAAAGGTACAAAGGATGTAAATCAAAATGATGTACCCAGCAAACCTAATTATCAGGGGAGGAAAAAGAGACATTTGAAGCTTTCCTTAAAAAAATGAGAGTAGATTATTTGGCTTGCAAATAGCCCAAACAATATTACAATTAAAAAGTGAATATAAATAAGAAGAAAAAATAATTGATTAAATAAATTACCCTCATCTTTAAAACTATTAAAAGGAAAAAAACAGAAAGTAAAAGATATCTATTGGGTTAAAAAATGATATTTGTTTTTAAAAGTACACAAGGGGCTAAAGATGAAAGTGAAAGTGATGGTGAAGGAACTGGCCTGAAACAACATATACAATCTCTACAATGCTTACTACAGGTGAATCAATGTACATCATGGGACCAAACTGCAGAATGAAAGGCTGCACAAAAAAAGAGAAGGAAGGTTTAGGATAGAGGGAATGTGTGACATGCCCAAATGAAGTCCATGGAAAACATCAAAGAGAAGATAATTTTTGTGGTCTGTCAGTAAGAAGGATGCTACAAAAGTCAGAGTCAAACTGGTAGAGTAGCAGAAATACAGAAGAACTCTATCTTACAAATATTCCACACAAAAACCTAGAAGATGAAATAGACCAAGTCCTGATCACAAAATTTAAGAAAAAAATTATAGTGAACCGTATTTTCAGCTGAGGTCAACAGAGAGATAAAGAAGCCTGTGAACAAAGGAGTATCCATGCATATCCACTGTAGGAACAGGTTGTGCTCTTGCATAAGAGGAGGTCCCAAATCTTCTTTGAGGTGTCTAAACTTGTACAGGGTACTGGAGAACGTGCAAAGTGTCATTCAGTACCCAGTTCTGAGTCACAAATACAGGGATGACTGAGGAAAGGATATGCATCTGGGGTGGCTTTCCAGGGTGAGGAGTGGTCACAGGCCCTAGTTTATATACTAAGCAAGGAGTAAGTTCAGAAGCAAGTAGTAGCTGTGTGGCTGTGATCCCATGAGTGGAAAAGGTGTCTTCGTTCAAGCCTCTAGCTTAATCTGAAGCCTTCAGAAGAATAACCAGCCTGGACCCCATCACAAAATGGAGGCTCCAAGATGAATTCACCAATGGGAGAAGAGGGACGGGACTTGTAGAGGGATGAGCGAGCTGCAGGATAGAGAGACCGGGTGAGGAGGCCCCAGATTCCTGAGGGAAATTCCAAGATGAAACAGCAGTAGGGGCATGAGTCTGAAGTCCAGCAGATCAGGAACAGGGTCAGGAGAAGAAAAGGAGAAGTGGGAATAAGAGGGAAGGTTGATTAAAGGAGGGATTAGTCCTAAGCTATTTGCAGCAAATTCTTTGGAGGGCAAAGAATTGGAAACTAAGGGAGTGTCCATCAAGTGAGAAATGAGTGAATAAGCTATGATATATAAGTGACTGAATACTATTGTGCTATACAAAATGATGAAGGTGATGGTTTCAAAAAAATCTGGAAAGATATGTAAGAACTGATAAAAAGTTCACAAAAATATGAAATGCATAAATTAAAAGAATAAGAAATATAAAATTTTAAATAACTCAATCTTAAAAAAAGACACTGAGCAAGCCATAAGTGAACTCCCAAAGAAATAATCCCAGGATGAGATAGATGGATTTAGAAGTGAATTCCGTCAAATGTTTAAAGAATAATTATTTCAATATGACATAAACTCTTTGAAAAAATAGGAAAAGGATCCTACTAAATTCCTTCTGTGATACAAATATGGTCTTGATGACAAAACCAGGGAAATTCATAACAGAGAAATAAAACTATAGACCAATATCTATTAATATTAGATGCAAAAACTTTAAATAGAATATCAGCAAGTTCATGACTGGTGAAGGCATTTGGGAGGAGCTGACTCCCACAGTGAGCTTTCTCATTGATCAGACATTTTATTCACTGCATACTCTATTATTGTACTAGAAATTTGCTACATCATTATTGTTTAAATAATGTTTATTGCTTGAAAAATCTTTTAGTTATTTATAGTGTTACGTGGTAACCAATTGATCTGCATATATAATAATATAGTGGTAAAACACTGGCTTGAACCTAGAGTTTAGATCCTGGCTTTGACACTGCCTAGCTACGTGACCTTAGACCAATCATTTTACCTAACTTTATTATGATGGCAATGGTGTCACATTATTATTTATTATGTTATTTACAAAATATTACAAAAATACAACTATTACAAAAAAGTATAAATCATACAAAATATCTAACAATATTTAATCATAATAATATAACCCTTGTTGATCTAGTTCTCAATTCAATAGAGTGTAAAGTCCTAAGAGGACAGAATTTCCTAAACAAATATTTCTTTTTCTATGATCAACTCTTTCAAGAGAAGATTACTCAAAATTCTTCAAATAGAAGGTGAAATAAAAAGGAGATTACTTAGAACATCTTTCTTACAATAAAGCTTTAACTATAGTAGTCCTTTTCAAAGGAATGTCACAGCTTTTAAATATGATCATGAAAAAGAGTACATTCAATTTGTCATCTTACCTGTTTCACTTCCTTTTTCACTTGTTTCCTCATCCAACAAAATCAGCCTGGGTGGCCAAAACAAAAATGTGAAAAGATTTTGGTTAAAAGATTATGACAAAAGTATTTGATTAATTCTCTCATGCTATGTGGGTGGAGAAGATGGAGAAATGTGGGTTAGACAATACAACCAAACAGATTAAGAAATGGCCAAATAGCAAGACATAAAGAGCTCATTAATGGCTTCAAATAAACCCAAGGTGTACTTGGCCCTGCGATGTTTAATATTTTAATCAGTGATTTGGATGAAGGCACAAGGGGCATATTTTTTAAATCTGCAGATGATACACAGCAAGGAGGAATAGTTCACATGTTGCATAACAGGTTCCAAAAACTCTTGATGAATATTGAGACAAAGCTAGTAAGATAAAGTTGAAGAGAAAAGAGTCAAGCCTTGCACTTAGATTTTAAAAAAATCAACTTCATAAGTACAAGACGGAGGGAAGCACGCTTTGACGGCAGTTCACCTAAATGAGATCTGGGGTTGTAGGGCAACTCATGTCAACATGACGCCACAGTGTGATATGGCAGCTAAAACAAAGCTGCCCTAAAAGAAGCATGACGTCCAGAATTAGGAGGTGATCGCTCCATTGAAGTCTGTCCTGGCCAGACCACATCTGGCACGTTGTGTTCAATTATGGCTTCCATATTTCATGGATGATATTCATAAGTATCTAGATTAGAGCAATCTGTAGAGCGGATGGTTTAAAGGTCATGCCATTTGACTATCAGTGATATGGATAATTAGCTTAAAGAAGAGAAGACTTCAAGAGAAAGGACACATGAGAACTCTAAGTATCTGAAGGTCTGCCACATGTAAGAGGAATTAAACTTCTGTTCTGAAGAGTAGGAATAATGGATAGAAGTGGCAGAAAGGCAGAGACGGCTCAAAATGAGGATAATTTCCCTAACAATTAGAACTATTCAGAAGTAAAACAGCCTGCTTCAGGAGGTGGGAGATTTTCTTACTAAATGTTTTCAAGAAAGACTGATCATTTGTCATGTATTTTGTAGAGGTACTATAAGGAAAGAATTTCCTAAACAACTATTTCTGTTTCTATGATCAACTACTTTCAAGAGAAGATGACTCAAAATTCTTCAAATAGAAGGTAAAATAAGGAGGAGATTGTTTAGGACACCTTTCTTACAATGGAACTTTAAAGACTGACAGTCCTTTTGAAAAGAATTGTTTTAGAAAAAGGTTGGATTAGATGGCCTTTGAGGTTCTTTCCAATTCTTAAAATTCTGTGTTTCTGTCAAAACGCACGGAACTCAAGAGTCCACGGTTTTCGTGTGGTTGCTGAAATGGAGAGCTACAAAGAACCTCTACGAAACTTGTCCAACAGATTCCCTTAAAACAATGTCCTCGAGAGAATTTCCAAAGAGCAATGTCTTCTATGATTCTACATTATACATTCTCTTACATTTTACAGAGAAATTAATCTTCATATCAAGAATTCTATTCAATTTTGACAGATTGACTCAAAACCATGAAATTAAGACCATACTTTGAAACGCGAAATGTAGTTTTTAATGACTGAGAAATCTTTTTGTTGTTGCTGTTGTTGTTTGATTGTTGTTGTTTTTTGAAGTACACGGTCAGAATTATGGGGAGAAGACAGGAAATGGGATTAAGGAGGGGCATATGGATAAACAGGAAAACTGTAGAGAAGAGGGTTCAGTTCCTAGTCCCTAGACTAGAACCTCCTCAGGTGCTGCATTCTCCCCAACAAAAAAAAAGAGAGAGTGGCAAATGGGATGAGCATTACCAGGTCCCAGGTATATGCCTGTCATATTTTTATCCAGGTGAAATCTCATCAAGGGCAGCCTTAAAAGAAATTAAATAATGAAGATATCAAAAAGAACAGCATGAAGCCCATGAAGAAGGAAGAGGTATTGCCTTAGCTAAGGAGAAGCCTTAGCTTCTCCTGTGTTGCCCTTATAATGGAAGAAAGGGTTGTATCTAAGCTCAGCTATTTATTATCTTTTTTAGCCATTATGAAATTCTAGCCATGGTAGTTCTCCCAAAGAAATCACTCAATTTGGGGCCAAAGGTGATCCTTTCTTATTTGCTCTCCTTAGTGATGGCTTTTTTGCCTATTACCTTGAAATTGAAACTTAAGAGACTACAAAATAAATATTTAATGTTCATCAGAAAAAAGGCATCAAAAATAGAATTGACAATGTATTAAAATGGTATTTAATAATATCATATAAAAATATTTTCTGCTTACTTTTCAAGATTAGTAGTAAGATTATTTTCTACTTTGTCCTCTTTGTGTTCTTCAGTAAGCTTGCTTGGAGACTCCTTAAGTCGCTAAAATAAGAAATCAAATTGAAAATATACAAAGGAATCATTTACCCCATACAAATAAAATAAGAGTAATACTTGTTAAAACATAATACTATAACGTGTATTGAGTTGCTTGCCTTCTCAATGAGGGTGGGTGAGGAGGGAGGAAGGGAGAAAATTTGGAACCCAAAGTTTTAAAAACAGATGTTAAAAATTGTTTTCACATGCAACTGGGAAATAAGATATATGGGCAATGAGGTATAGAAATCTATCCTGTTCTACAGGACAATAGAACAGGAAGGGGATAAGAGAAGGGGGGGGGAGATAGAAGAGAGGGCAGATTAGGGGAAAGGGCAAAATCTTGTGGATGTGAATGCTGAAAACTAAAAATAAATAAATTAATGAATCTTAAAACATAATGCTAGGAACAATTGTGGAAAATGCATGATGATGTATTTCTGGAAGATTCTGCTTCAGTTATTTTTCTAATGGTGATGATGGATTAAACTAAACCATCCACATTCTTTGGCCCAGTATATATCGTAAGGTAGGTGACCACAGTGTTTAAAGACTGATGATAAGTTTAATAATGACAACAGTTATGTTATTAGCCTGCCTCAATGAAACCCTAAACATATCTAAAGATTCTTACAAACAATACTGGAATGAAAGCCATTACAATAAAATTGGTTAGATAAACATTATGTCCACATCTATAAAACAGCAGAAAATGAAGGCAAGAAGATTAGCATGTCTTAAGCTAGTAGATTCAAAGAGAAGTTTACGAAGCAGTGTAAGATAGAGCCCCAGTCACCAGTTCAGCTCACTGAGCAGGTCTATTAATAGCAACATCTGGACTTACCATTCCACCAAAACTGCCTTTTCCAATATTACTAATGATCTTTTAGTTGCCAAATCCCATGGCCTTTCCTCAGTCCTCAATCTCATGGACCTCTCTGCAGCCTTTGACACCACTGATATTCTTTTCTTCCTAGGTTTTAGGGACACCATTTAGGGACACCTGGTTCTCCTCCTACCTATCTGACTGCTCTTTCTGAGTCTCCTTTGCTAGATCCTCATCCTGATCATGCCCTCTAACCATAGGTGTCCCTCACAGTTCTGTCCTGGGCCCTCTTCTCTTATCCCTCTATGTTACTTCACTTGGTGATTTCATCAGTTCCCATGGATTTAGTTACCACCTTTATGTTGAGATCCTCAGATCTACCTATCCTCCCCTAAACTCTCTGTTGACCTCCAATCTCACATCTCCAATTGCATTTCAGACATCTTGAACTGGATGTCTAGTAGACATCTTAAATTCAATGTATCCAAAACATTATCTTTCCTCCTAAATCCTCCCCTGCTCCTACTTTCCCTATGACTATAGAGGGCAACACCGTCCTTTGAGTCACTCAGGCTCATAATCTAGGAGTCATCCTGGACTCTTCACTGTCTCTCACCCCTCATACCCAAACTTTGCTAACGCCTGTTCATTTTACCTTTGCAACATTTCTCCAATAATGCCCCCTTCTCTTCTCTGACATTGCTATCACTCTAGTGCAGACCCCCATCACCTCCCTCACACCTGGATTACTGCAATAACCTGCTTGTAGGTCTGCCTGCCTCGAGTTTCTTCCCACTCCAATCCAACCTCCATTCAGCCACTAGTGATTTTTCCTAAAAAACAGGTCTGACCATGTCACCCCCCTACTCAGTAAACTCCAGTGGCTCCCTATTACCTCTAGAATACAGTACCAAATGCTCTGTTTAGCATTCAATGTCCTATCTCCCTCCTAGCCTTCCAGTCTTCTCATATCTTACTCCCCACCATGTACTCTTCACTCCAGTGACACTGGCTGTTCCCTGAACAAGACACTCCATCTCTCAGCTCTGGGCATTCCCTCTGGCTGTCCCCCAGGCCTGGAACATTCTCCTTCCTCTGTTCTGACTACTGACCTCCCTGGCTTCCTTTAAGTTCCAACTAAAATTCCATTTTTTACTGGAAGCTGTTCCCAGCCCCCTTCTCTGTTAATGATTTCTTATTTATCATATACGTGTGTGTGTATTTGTGTATAACTTGCTTTGTATGTATTTGTTTACACGTTGATTCCCCTCTTAGACTGTAAGCTCCCTGGGGGAAGGGCTGTTTTTTGCTTATTTCTGAATCTTTTAATGAAAAGTGCAGAAAATATGAGATCTTAATGTTGCTTATTGATTACAAAAAAGCATTTTACTTATAAGGGCAAAAAGCAACCTTAAAGGTTCTCCAACAAGGAGACCCTCACGTATCTGTTAAGCTCATACCAGAATCCTTGATAAAGGCAACCACAGACACAAGTGTTCAATGATTCCTTGATTTTTTTTAACATTAAACTAGACATAAAAACAATGAGACACCTCAGGTATTCACCAATGTCATGGAGAATATTCTGTACAGAATATAAATATAAGAAGGAATCTCTATAGGTAGTTGGATTCTCCAGATGCCCCTATTTCCAGATGATATTGTATTAACTGCAGTGAGCCCTAGAAAAGTACAAGGCCTTTAAGAAATTGATGATTTTTAGAAAAAGATTGGCCTAACAATCAATACAGAAAAAACTAAATGATAAATGCCTAGTGTCCAGACCTTGACATAATACAGAAATAAGCTGTAACACCAATCAATTTCATTAGTATAAACATCTGCAACAAATCCTGCCAATGGACAATGAATTGTTTGATCCAGAAATTAACTAGGGGAAGAGAGTAAACTGGATTGCATTTAAGAAGCTAAACAGTGTTTTATTTTTTGTTTTTGTTGTTTTTAAACAATCCCAAACTGATCCCAGAGCAAAAGGTCATTTGTTAATACAAATGTGCTCCTGAGGGTGCTATATTTCGTACTATCGTACTCTCTGATGAATAAAGGTTACCAGTGGGCATAAATAGGTTACAGCATATTTTTAATTATGTACAAGAAGTAGCATATGGCCCAACATTCAGGAAATATATGATTGGAAGAGGAAATTGGGATGGCACACAGTAAGAACAAAGAATAACAGATGCATCCAACATACAACCCAAGGAGCATTTATGTTCCTACTATGTACAAAGCAACAGATAGCTCAAATGCTGGATCAGGACCCCATGAAATGTAAAAAAAAAAATCTAGGCAAAGGTCTTCAGCACATCAGATAGATCTTTTTTGGAGGATCTATGAGAGAATGTAGGCAAGAATTGTGCAAGATAAGAAGAAAGGGAGTACCTACATAAGTAAGATTGTAGAGGTACTGAATATTGAAGGATATCTGATGCAACAGTTGGCATTCCTCTTATGTACTTAACATTACAGTTTATATTATATTTATCTAAATATATATGCTTTTCTCCCTCCCTTACCCCCCATATTAGACTGTAAGCTCTTTGAGGGCAGAGGTTAGGTCTTATTTGTATCTCCTCTAGTGCCAATACCGTGCATATAGTATATGATTCATAAATACTGAATAAAGACACACAAACACACATACTCCCCTATTATGTATATCTTTGATATGCAAATACAAATTACTTAATGTTATAGAATTAAAATTAGTTAAGCAGACTATATAGTTTGCACCTTCTTTTCAAAGAAATCCCCAAAGAATGACATGTGATATATCAGAGGTACAACAATGGGAGGGAATTCCTTATTTTTTTAAATCCAGAAAGAACTCTGTAGGATGCCCACTATAGTATTGCCTATCACATGAGACACTTTATTATTTTATATTTTTTTCCTTCTTACTTTTTCCTCTTTCACACTTTCTTTGGAACTATCTTCCTTCCCATTCCTTTCTTCCTCTTTGTCTACCTATAACACTGGCTCTCCAGCGGTATTCAGATGTATTTGCTTAGACCAGTTGGCAAATGTAAGTAAAAGATCTCTAGTCTAGCAAAGGAGGAAAAAAGGCCCAAAGATAAACAGTTCAATATTCTTCCCCAAGCTACATAAGACAACATCGAGAGAATTTCACCTTTAGCGCCACAAAATCATATGGACGGAAGCCTGTAAATTCTTCGTGGATTCTGGACATCATTCGAGCTGTTTTCTCCCAGAATCCAAGCAGTGTTCTCTGAGGAAAAAGATAACAGGATATTACAGGTATACTCTGCCTGAACATTTTGTTAGTGTTATTTTCCTTTCTATTGTAACGGATGAACAATTCCAAGAAAAGGTGATTAAGTTTATTAGTCCTTCCAAATTATGGCAATAAATAAAGCAATTCAAAATAGTAGTAATTAACTTCTGGGTATATGTACTGTACAAATAACTGCTCAAAAGCTTTCTAAAGATTAATTATATGAACGAAGAGAAGAAAAAATGGTAGATTAGAACATCTTCCAAGAAATCCAGAAAAGAATCACTGAAATTATCCATCTGTACAGAAGGGGAACACATGTATAATCATTATGTTATTATGCATGCATGTGCTTATGACTAGTCAGGGTGAGAAAAGTCACACCAATAGCTAAACTTTTTCATCAAAGGCGTGCACACATACATACATGCAGTGCACACACACTGCATGTACTCCCATGCCCCCACATGGCATTCATGAGTGCATTCATAGGCATATACAAACACACACACACACACACACACACACACACACACACACATACACACACACGCCCTTTCACAAAAGTCATCTGTTTGCCAGTCAGCACTCAGTTAATTACTTAGAAATGGATTGCCCTGGCTCTTTACTTCGCTTCTCCTTCCAGCTGTCCTCTCTTTTTGGTTCTTTTTAGTGTATTAGACAAAAAAGAAATAAAACTCTAATTTGTTGTGTCCAGATGTGGATTCCTGAGTGACTCAGCAGCACACAGAATTATGTGTGTTCCTCAGGGTTGGAAAAGGCTTCCTTTCCACTAGTTAGCTACGCTTTTCCTGTACAATTGCTATTTTCTCTACTGTCCTAAATGGAAATTTTAATGAATGTGAGTTACTGCTATATAATTTCATATTGTGCTACTCATTGTTGTGGCTTTGGGTAATCCATGCTAAGACTTGCAGCCCATTGTGATGAAGAACAGAGGGCTGGCTTCATTCTAGAGAAGAGATATGTTCTAGGCTTGAACTATGCCAAAGTCTAATAGCAAAGCCAAGCACAGCAAAATTCAGAGGATTCTTTCCAGTTTAATTATGTAATTTATTTTCTTAACCCCTTAGTCAACTTTTAAAAAGAAATCTCACCACTCCTCTTTACTGCAAGGACATGCTGACCATGGAGTTGGGTACCTGGTAGGTAGTGAGTGAGTGGGATAACAAGTTGCAGCGACTAGCTCCAAGTAAGTCCACTTTCTGACAAACATCCATCTTTAACTTGTCAAAAGAAGCTTTGGTATTTCTCACTTGGATCTGCACCTAATCATAAAGAGCCCATATTATTATTGCCAATAACAGACCACTAAAGTGATATACATGTGTGTTTGTACACACACATTACTTTAATGACTTAAACATTTAGCAGACAGTAAAGTAGGGTACTGTGAAGAGGAATATTATGATATATATGTTACACACATTATATATAAAGTCTATGACTAAAAATGAGGTCTGTTGTAGAGAAATCACAGATTTTACATATCTACATACACACATATGCAATGCTTTCATACCATTATAAAAATAAACAAGGACTTTTTGTTGTTGTTGTTGTTCAGATATTTTTCATCTGTGTCCAATTTTTCATGACCCCATTTGGGATTTTCTTGACAAAGATACTGGAGTGGTTTGACATTTCCTTCTCCAGCTTTAGAGATGTGGAAACTGAGGCAAGCAGGGTTAGAGTCAGAGTTGGAGGCATTATGGTCGGGTCACACAGCTAGTAAGTGACTGAGGTCACATTTGAACTCAGGAAGATGAGTCTTCCTGACTTTAGGCCCGGCATCCGATCCACTGAACCACCTAGCTACCTCAATCAAGGATCACAGTTCCCTTTCACAGTATCCTATGTACTATCTGCTAAATATTTGTGTCATATGACAATGGACAATATAAAATACACAACAGCAATACACAACATTAAGAACTATAAAAAGGGGAATAGAAGCTTCAGAGAATAAATGGTACTTTTACACAGTATTAATAAACATTTTATAATTTATATACTATGAACTCAAATGGTATGAAGTGAAGTTTAGATACAATAATCTATCTGAAGCTTGGTACAAAATATGTTTTCATAGAAAGTCATTCAAAAAGCTGTGGAATCCAATGGGGTAGTAATATTATAGTCTTCATTTTTTTATATTAATAACTGTTTTAGATTTATTTATTCCTACATTTAAAATAAGCTTACTCAGAAATAAATCAAAGAAACTATGAGCCAAAACAAACAAACAAAAAAAAAAGACCAATAAAATCAAACTGCATACCATCTTTGGGTGGGGGAGGGGAGGAATGGGGAGAAAATTTGGAACTCAAAATCTTATAGAAGTGAATGTTGAAAACTAAAAACAAATAATTTTTTAAAAGATCAATAACTAAGAATATTTTTCATTTCAAAGAGATTAATAGAACAAAAGTGTAATAAAGACAAAACCCTAAGGACTTAAAGTACCATATAGCATTTTTATTAAAATACAGTGATGTTTTAAATTCAGTTGGTCAAGTTAATTGTGGATTAGAATATATACCAATACAGGAAAAAGATTTTCTTACTTTTCTGAACTTTTCCATTTGTTTGGATGTGTCTGGGTCTAGTTCTTGTGATACATCTTTCATCCACAGCAAAGCCCCTCTGTATTCTGTGCGGGCCTGCTCCATTCGATTGATTGTCATCAAGGTATCAGATACTGCCCTCTGACTAAAAGTTGCTACTTCTTGCTCAAGACGAGACAGAGGAGTGCATAAGGCTAATCTAATGATAAAAATAATTAGATTCAGAAGGAACATATGAAACAAAAACTAGAAACTGAGTGAATCAAAACTTTTCCATCTTCAAGACCATTTTGGAGAACATGTAATTAGTGATCAATTTTCTATGTGTATGGCACTACTTTAAACTGGTCAAATTTGCATTGTCTACAAAGAAGTCATTTTATTAAGTGTAGCAATTTCAAAATATCTAATAGCATAATGGATATATTAATAGGAAATTAATATACCAAAAGACTAAAATGAGCAAGTTTTTAAAAAAAATTACACATTCACTGATTTGATAAATGAGGTGTCTACACCTCCATTTTTACTGTCCTTCATTTTTGGAACACGGTAAATTAGTCACATTATTCAGGTAACAATTAAAGTAAATGCACCACTTAACATTTCTCTAACAAATAACACTTGTACAAAGTATACTCTTCAAAACAAAAGTCTTTCATTTACATAGACACATAGCCTGAGTATAAAAAGGCAGATAAAATACTCAAAGAGCTAATAAAACAATCAGCTTCTAAGCAAATGAAGAAGCCTCTAAGTACATGTCAAGGCAAAGCAATTTGTTCCATTTTTCAACATTGTATGGCTCATGTCATCACTGATCTCTCTCACTATGAAAAGCCTTTTTCAAACATAAAACCACAGGATCTGAAGGGGAAAGGCACCTTAGCAATCATCTAATCCAACTCTCCATTTTACAGATGAGAAAACTGGAACCCTGAGCAGTTTCATGAGCTGCCCAAGTTCAGTGAGTTAGTAAATAGGGAAGCTGGAATGTGAACCCGGTTCTTTCTTCACTCTATCAGATCATCTACCACAGCTGGTGCTCTCCTGGCAAAGGACTTTTCTGTACATCCTTTTGATTCCAGGTTTCTTCAACTGCACAGCCACATACCTTTAATTAGGACTGCTTTTCTTTTCCTCTGAAAAGTTAAGGAATTTTGGCTACTCTAAGTAAATGCAGCATAAGATACTTCATAGCTTCTTTTATGCTTAAAAAAGTGTGATGTGATAAATGTAAATTACAGCTTAAAAGGAAAATTATTTTTACATTCAAAGTAAGTCAAAAAAGAAAACTACGAAGTTTTATAAATAACTACATGTAAATAATTACATATTTAATAGGGCAGACTATTAAAATATTAATGCCATATTTATATCTTAATTATATAAAATTATCAGAGAAATTTAAATTCAATACCAAACTCTGCTTATAGAGAACAAACTACTGATGATTTCAATGTTTTTGAAAATAACTATTTTAAAGGCAACAATAATAGCATGGAATGTTTATAATATACTCATATGCTACATTATAATTTCCCTATTATACTTGTATTATGTGTCTTACAATATAATATTAAGTATACCAAATATGATAAAGATGAAGAAAACACTGATTTAAAAGAAAACCTTTGGTTGGCTGAAGAACAGAGCATCTTGCCAGTGGCATCCATCATTTTGCCAGCTTGAGTTATATCCTGTTCTGCTTGAAACTTTAAAAAGAACCCAAGCTCATGTTCTTCTTCAGATATAGCTAGGACAGTAAAAAATGCTAGTTAGCACAATTATTTTACTCCAGTGCATAAAAAAACAAAACTAAAATACACATTTATCTACAATGATATGATATAACCTAAGAACCCACGGTTCTAAACCACACAGAGATCCATCAATGAATTACTGCATCTTAGAAAACGCCTTCTTTTTCCCATGTTTGCGTGGCTCCTGAGGGAAAATTTGTTCACTGCCATTGTGCAATATGGCCCTAGCTCTCTAAATTGCAATTCTTCCTTTGCATTCAAACCCACTACACCACTTAGGGTGCTGTTACAAACACCTAGAAATTTCCTATTGATTGCAGGAAAAGAGTCTAAGGGGTTAAAAAAATCCAATGGCCACTCTTTCCTTGGCATCTCTAGCACTTACTTTTCCTTTTCCCCCTCCTTTCTAACTGTTCCTTCCAGGTCTCCTTTGCTGGTTCATCTTCCTCCTCCTAGCCAATGTATGTTTCTCCCAAGATGTTATCCTTACCTTTTTCTCCATCTCTCTCTTTTTTCTTTGGCAACGTCATTTGCTCCCCCATGCCAAATTAGTATCTCTATGTACGTGAAAATGGTAGGTCAAAGGGGATCAGGATGTACAAGAGAACATTATAACTAGGTGATTTAAGGAGGAATGTGAAAAGAGTTGTTAGACTGGGAGAATATGGAGGGACTGAGGTGATAATATGGGTAAAGTAAAAGAGAAGTGAGGAACAAGACTGGAGGTTGATTAGGAAATAGAGAGGAGGATTTCCCAGTTCGAGATTTGAGAGAAGCATACAATGAACCAAGTATAGTTGGATGACCTGGGGCATTATTTAAAATCAGAAATGCTCTAAATTGATAGCTGTCCTTGCAATATTTTTCAGCAGCTACAGTAAAATAACTTGAAAACCAGTCTTCAGAAATCGCTTTAGTTGCCTATGCTTTATGTGATTGCCAAAGACCTGGAAGCAATCAATGGTTGTAGCTTCTCAGAGCCAAAGGATTTCAAGACCAATTAAAAGAAAGGAATAATTTGAACTTAAAATCCTCTTTTGCATTATCTTCCAGTAGAAGTTAGGCAATCCTTAGATACATTAAATCTGGGTTGTGTTTTTTCTTTCTTAAATATGAAATTTATTATGCCCAAAGGGCTATAAAACTATGTGTCCCCTTTGACCCAGCAATAATATGACTAGGTCTATATTCCAAAGAGTGAAAAGGAAAAGGACCTATGTGTACAAAAATATTTACAGCAGCTCTTTTTGTGGTGGCAAAGAAAAGGAAATTGAATAGATGCCTATTAATTGGGGAATGGCTGATCAAGCTGCGGTATATGACTGTGATGGAATACTACTGTGCTGTAAGAAATGATGAGCAGGATGCTTTCAGAAAAATGTGGGAAGACTTACATGAACTGATGCAAAGTAAAATAAGCAGAACTAGGAGAACATTGTACACAGTAACATGTTTATCAACTGTGAATGACAGCTACTCTCAGCAATACAATGATCTAAGACAATTCTGAAGGACTTATGATGAAAAATGCTCTCCTTTTCCAAAGAAAGAACTGATGGAGTCTGAATGCAGATTGAAGTGTATTTTGGGGGGGATGGGTTTTTTTGGTCTGCATTTTCCTTTACAACATGCTTAATATGGAAATGTTTTGCATGACCACACATGTATGATCTATATCAAACTGCTTACCTTCTCAGGGAAGGGTATGAGGAGGGAAGGAGAGAAAAAGGAACTCAAAAAAAAATGTCAAAAATTTTTGTTTACATGTAATTGAGAAAAAAATTAAAGTTCAGGAATCCAGAATAAGCCTATTTCATTAACATTAAAAATATATTGATCTGTGTATCCACCTTCTTTAATTATTTTCTTCAAAACATCAGAATATTTAGCTGCTGCAAACTCATGTGCTCTGGCCACCTCTCCAGCAATTTTAATGTTATGCAATTAAACTTGATTTTTAAAGCAAACAACTCTTGTAGTAAGTTTCTTCCCTATCCACTTTATTCTTACTTTCTTTTACCTCTTTACGTAAACTTGAAGCTTTCTTCCTGACTGGCTGCTCTGCTAACATGAATGCATTTTTTATTGCAATCTTCAATCTATACATACAAAAGATGCTTCCCTTCTGCCACTGTTGACACTTCTGTTCCTTGTTTGCAAACCACAAAAAAACTGGTGCAAATTTGCCTTTTCTTTTATTTCACCTGTATGTTTTAAAACATTGCATACCATAAATTCAAGCATCTAGTATCTCATCCTATTTTAAAGTTACTATAACCACATTCATTCTGTTCAATCACATCAACTTCTGCTATAATGTAACATAACAAGTTTCTTCTTTTTTGTGCTTGCAGTATTCTGAAGTATTCTTCCTTTTGTCCATTTGTTAACAGTTCTTTTTTTTTAAATTAATGCAATACATGGCACACAGGAGCACATTCCACACACATGTGACAATAGCCAAGTGCAGACTGACAAAGTAGGGGTTTGTTAAAAGCTTCAACAAGATCACACATGTCACATTAACTAAATTGTAGCTTGCATTAAATGTACCTTGGTATCATTTTCTAATCCACCCTGAAATGAATTTCTCATTATTTGAACTCATATTAATGACAATCTAGCCATAAGAAATAGTGAAGGGAGTGGTTTCAGAGAAAGCTGGCATGAACTGTATGAACTGATGAAGAGTGAATTAGAGCAGAACCAAGACAACAATTTATAAAATGACAAAAATACCATAAGGACAAACAACTTTGAAAGACTCAGGAATGCTGATCAAAACAAAACAAAGATCAACTAGCACTCCAGAAGACTTAAGATGAATCATGTGACCCACCTTCTGATACGTCTACCCAAGAGTACAAATTGAGACACAATTTTTTTGGAAATGGCCAATGTGGGAATCTTTTTTCACTTGATTAGACATGTTTGTAACTGGGGTTTTGTTTTCCTTTCTTTCTCAATTCAGGGGGTTGGGGAGAGGGAGGAAGCAGGAGAGAGAGAAGGTAGACTTTGAATAACTGAAAAAAATTGAATTAAAAAAAAGAAACAAAATCTGGTGCCAACCTAACTTTCCAATCTTATTTCATATTACTCTCTCTTCAGGTACTACACATTCATACCAAACTAGGCTGCTAGCTGTACCCTAATCTCATCCTGCTTCTCTTATCTCTGTGTACTTGTGCAGGCTATTTACAATGCTTGAGCCCTTGGTCTCTTTCCTGACTAGCTGCTGTTTGGATTGGAGAGAGACAACATGGTAAAAGGAAAGTCCATAGCCCTCCATATATGAGGCCAAAATGGGGGCCGTGCCTATAAGCCTATGGCCTGAGCCACTTTGTATTTAATCTTTACTTTTTCAGACAGAGAGTATTGGATATGGCTGGGACAGGTAGAGCACAGTGGATAGAGTGCTGAGTCTGGAGTCAGCAAGACCTGAGTTCAAATGTAACCTCGGACACTTACTAGCTGTGTAACCCTGGGCAAGTCACTTAAACCCTGTTTGCCTCAGTTGCCTCTTCCGTGAAATGAGCTGGAGGAGGAAGTGGCAAATCACTCCAGCGTCGTTCCAAGAAAACCTTAAATGGGGTCATGAAGAGTCGGACACAACTGAACAACAACAACAATTGCATGTGGCTGGGACCGTGTGAACTTTGAAAGGTCAGGTGAGTGAACCGCCACCATCCATGCCAGGTTTGGTGGCCAGCCAATCAAAGAAAAATCTCTGAGGACCCAGGCCAGCATAACCGAGATATGGACTCATACATGCATGAGTCATTCTTCAATTGGAAGCTGAATTTGGTATGGTGAATGCCATGTAGAAACTGCATTAAGTTTAAGCCCATCCTTCTCAGGGCCCTTGGTGGTATAGGGGAGAGTGCACCCCCATGAGCTGGGGGGAAATGCTTGTACCTTTGTCCTTTCTATATTTGCAAAGCAAATATCCCTTTGAAAAAGCTAAAAAGGAAAACAAAAAATCCAATGCTTGGAAACACTATGATTTCATCTTGGTCTATCAAAATTTTTCTCTGCTTTCTCCATCTATGGTGTGGACTCTTCTATAAAAGTCTTTCCTGATTACCCTAGCTGGGGTCAGGGAACCCTCTCTCCTCAGATTTTCTTACAAGAATTTTTCTGGATTTTTCTTTTGCTGTTATGACATTCCACTTTACATCATATGTCCTCTATTATACTGTAAGCTTCTTGAAGACAAGGCACAAACTGTCATTTTCATTTGTTTCCACAGTGCCTTAAACATTCTAGGTTACTGAATCAAAATGAATTAAATTTAATTGAGTAATTCAGAGGACACTTCAGAATCTTGGAATACCAAAGAACAATCATTATGAATGAATATCAATTTCAGTAGGCTGGCCACCTAGTGTTCAAACTTTTTTTGGGGGCCATGGCAATACACAAAATAAAGAAAAATTTTAAATGATCCTCAGTCCTGTGCCCTTCCACTTTGCAATGACAGTAACAACAAATTGAGAAAGGAGTAAGAGGATGCTAAAAATCAGTTTTTAGACCATCAACAAATTTTAATTTGCCTGTTGGTATTCTAAATGTGAAATCTCTGTCCAATGACCAAAGATTGGACATATTACTATAGAAGCTAAATCATATTAGTCTTGACTTCCTTGTTGTAAAGGAAATCAGAAAAAAGAAAGAAGTTATAGCTAAATAGGGTGGGTCATTTTAAGGTACTCCTTCATAAAGGCAAAGAAAGAAGTTGGTGGAATGGATTATTATATGCCCTAAGGCTACAAGAAATATTATTTCGAGGGACATTTGGTCATCACAGATTGCAGCACTAATGATACATATTTGCAAAAAGGTTACCAAGAAAATAATTGCAGTTTATACACCAATATCAGATGTTGAGGCAAAATAGTGGAGAATTTCTACAAAGAACTTGATAAGACCCTTTAAATCAAATCAATATACACTCTGATACTTGGTGGCCTCCATGCAAAGGTGGGAAAATGAGAAAATGGAGAAAAATATATCGGAAAGTATGGTTCAGGAAAAAGAAATGAGAGTAACCAAAGACTTGTAGATTAAACAGAAGCCTTTACATCACAAGCACTTTTTTGAAATAAAAAATTGGTAGGCTCTAGATATGGCAAGCACCAAACAATATCACAAAGAATTTAAATGCCTACATATTAACAAACAGGAAAAGACTTATTGTGGACACCAGAGTTATCCCATAGTCAGCTTAGAGCTAAGATTGGAACTTGTGATAAACAAGAAAGAGTAGTAATGAGAAAAGGATAGGTTATACAATAATATTTAACCCTGAATTATTGAAACAAACTTGAAATTAAAAATGAGAAATGGATAATAGAAATGACATTGATATCAACTATAATAATTTCATCCAAAAGTTAAGCTAATGTAAATGAATTGCCATAAGATGATCAAAAGAGCCTAGAAAGTGCCTCAGTCAACAAACATTTGACTTGACAAATAGAAAGAGATAGTTGCCAAAGGTAACACTGAATCAGAATATAAACTCATCTGTAAAATCTTACTTGGAAAGATAATGGATAAGTATGAGCAGTAGTATGTCATAAGGCAGAAACAGTAGAGTGTAAAACTAGTTTACAGAAAGCTTAGCAAGATACTGAAACAAATCATCTCAATAGCATTCAAGGTGAAAACAGAAAGACTGCAAACAAGAAAAATGTTAAAGATTTGCAAAAATGATTACAACAAACTAAAAAAAGGCAAATGTGATTGCTGAGCCAACACCAGTGATCTTCAAAAGACCGAGTTTAAAAGATGCACAGCATATTTCTCCCACAATCATCCACTCTCTTCGATATTCTATCGATTCCTTCCCTGCTCTCTTCAAACACACCCAAGCGTCCCTCACTAGCTCTCCACACCTCCACCAGCTGCCTTCCTATATCTCGCTTCCTTTCATCCACATTTGGTATCTCGGCTTCCTCTCCTCTCATTCTCTTCTAAACCCTTTGCAATATGCCTTCCAACCTTATCACTCAATTGAAACTGTTCCATCAAACGTTGCTAAAGATTTCTTAATTGCCATATTTAATGGCCTTTTCCCAATCTTCATCTTTCTCTGCTGCATTTCATTCTGGTGACCACCCACTCCTCCTATAAAGCCTCTTTTTTTTTTGGATTTTTATAACACTGCCCTTTCCTGGTTCTCTTTGTACCTCTCAGATCATTGGTTCTCTGTCACTTATGATAGATAACCATCAGTGTCACATCTACTAACTGGGCTCTTCCCTGGACCCTCTTCTCTTTTCTGTCTATACCAGGGATGGGGAACCTGAGGCCTTGAGGCCACGTGTAGCCTTCTAGGTCCTCAAGTGTGGCCACTTGACTGAATCCAAATTTCACAGAATTTGTTCTAAAGTTTGAATCTGGGGGCAGCTAGGTGGCACAGTGGATTGAGCACCAGCCCTGGATTCAGGAGGACCTGAGTTCAAATCCGACCTCAGACACACAAAAAATACTTACTAGCTGCGTGACCCTGGGCAAGTCACTTAACCCCATTGCCTAGCCCCCCCCAAAAAAATAAAGTTTGAATCCAAACTTCACAACTTTATCAATTCCTGTGGATTCAATTATCTACATACAATCATCTGTAGATGACTCCCAGATTTACATATCCAGCCCTGGTCTCTCTCTTTTTTTTTTCTTTTTCTTTCTTTTTTCTTTTTGGTGTGTGAGGCAATCGGGGTTAAGTGATTTGCCCAGGGTCACACAGCTAGTAAATAGCAAGTGTCTGGTCTGAGGCCAGATTTGAATTCAGGTCCTCCTGACTCCAGGCCTGGTGTTCTATCCATTGCACCACCTACCTGCCCTGATCTCTCCTGAGTTCTAGTCCAAATGCCTACTGGACATCTCCAAACACATATCTCAACCTATCTAAAGCATATTTTATTGCCTCTCCAACTCTTTTCTGAACTATTCCATTTCTGTCATGGGTACCCTAACTTTCCAGTCACCCCGGTTCACAAAATAAGTATTGACCCCTCATTTTCACGTCAAATCTTGCCATTTCAGTCTACAAAACCCCCTTGCATACAACCTCTTCTGTCCACTCACACAACCACCCACCTCATCACCTCTCACTCACTGTATTAAGAGCCCCCTAACTGAACTCTTCACATTATGTCTCCTCATTCCAGTCCATCTTCCACACAGCTGCCACAGTAATCCTCCTAGAATCGTCCCCACCACTATCTAATAAACGTGAGGGGCTCGGATTACCTCTAGTATCAAAGATAAACTCTGCCATTTAACGCTTTCCTCAGCATGGTCCCTTCCAACATTACCCGCTCTGTGGCCCAGGAAAAGTCTTAATTTAAACTCCTTCACTCTCAATTTCCTCACCTATAAAATGGAGATAATAACAGCAACTGCCTCACAGATTTGTGAACACGCAATGAGATAACACATAAAAGTGCTTTAAAGTCCTTAAGTGCAAGCCGTTATTACTGTTCTTACTCCCGCTCACCCAGGCTTCTTATACTTTGCTTCCCTCCACTCGAGAGCTCTGCAATCCCAGCCCACTAGCCGCTCCTCTCCCTAAGTCTCTCGGCTCAGCTGTCACTCACGCCATCCATGCCCGCCTTCAAGTGCTACTTTCTACATGAAGCCCCCTTCTCAAAACTATCCCATCTTTGTTCTGCATATATTCTCCATGTTTGTATATGTACATGTTGTCTCCCCCAACAGAATGTAATCTACTTGAAGAGAGGGGTTGTGTCACTTTTGTTTTTCTACCCCCGATGACTAGAAAGCACTTGAAACGAAGTAGGAACTTAATAAATGCTTATTGGTTGACTGAATGCAGAGGAAGATTAACAGAGGAATTTAGTGGAGAATATTATTTGATCTAAAATTTAATTTCCAATGATTTTTAAAAACTAAATAATTACTTGAGCTAAAGAGGGAACATAGAAAAGCATAATAAAAATTAGAAAAATAGGATATATGAGAAAAACTAGGAATTTATAAAAAAGAGAAAGATTAATTAAGTTTCTCTCAAAATTTTATTTCTATCAACCAAAAGAAACTGTCTCTATAGAAGTGAGTTGCATCCCATTAATTCTCTCAGGCCAGAGAGTTCTGATCTCTATTTTGAATGGAGTTTTATATCAGAGGGAATTTTTTTTTCTTTCCAGCATTGTAAGTAGGATTCAGTACAGTTCAGTTCAAGCCTATATAACATCAACCGTGTAACAGACCTATTGGCTCCCCGACCTGGGTTATGCACTGTGGAGTGATATCTACCTAGGGGATGAGGATCTTGAACTCCATAACTGATAGGTAATAGATGTAGAGTACACTGACGATATGCTATGACAGCATAGATTAGGCAATCAATAATCTTAGCATCAATCAGTTACATTTATTTGGAGAGAATAGGATTCTTTGTTACCTAAAACCACTAAAAATTATTTTAGCAAATTAGACATCTCATTTAACATTCAAATGAAATTTTTAATTTTTAAATAGAAAACAACTTTTAAAATTCCATTTAAAAATAGTAGTATTTAATCAGCATGATATAAATATCTATGCTTGCATACCATTGAGTCTTTGCTGATATTTCTCAATAATCTTCAGAAGTTCAGTACATGTGTCTTGAATGGAGTGAAAAACCTTGAAAAATAAATTTTATTTGGATATCAGTTTAAAGAACTATAAAAAGATACAAAATATCAGTCAGAAAATATTTCACAAACAATTTAAATATCATGGAACCACAGTCAGGATTACACAGGACCTTGTAGCTTCTACATTAAAAGACCATAGGGCGTGGAATATGATATTCCATAAGGCAAAGGAGCTTGGATTACAATCAAGGATCAACTAACTACCCAGCGAAAATGAGCATGATTTTTCAGGGGAGGAGATGGATATTCAATGAAATAGGGTACTTCCATACCTTCCTGATAAAAAGACCAGAGCTCAACAGAAAATTTGATCTTCAAATACATGACTCAAGAGGGACATAAAAAGGTAAACTGGACAGAAAGAAACAACATGTTATTAATAAGGGCAAACTGTTTACATCCATAGAAGGAAAGATGACACTTATAACTCTTGAGAACTATATCGTTATTACACAATGTAAAAGGGGTATACTATAAAGGGGGTGGGTATAAATTGACTTTGATGTAATAATGAAAAAATCTAATCAAGAAGGTTAAATGGATCCAAGTAAGTGAATTAATCTGATCTAAGAAAATGTACTGAGAGAAAAGGAAAGGAGGAGACAGACAAGGGTAAATCACAGGAAAAGGCACAAAAACCTATTACAGCAGAGGGAAAGAAGGGCGGGAGATGAGCATTGTTTGAACCTTACTCTCATCAGATTTGGCTCAAGAAGGGAATAACATAATCAGTTAGGTATAGAAATCTAACATGCCTTATAGGCAGTAGGAGGGAAAAGGAGAAAGAAAAGGGAGGGGGCTAATAGAAGGGAGGTGGGACTGAGGGAGGCGATGGTCAAAAGCAAACATTAGTGAGGAGGGAAAAGGAGAAAGGAGAAAGAAAAGCATAAAGAGGGGGGAAAAAGGATGGTGAGAAAGACACAGATAGTAATCGTAATTGTGAATGTGATATATGAATGTAATGGAATACTATTGTGCTATAAGAAATTATGAACAGGTAGACTTCAGATAAACCTGGAAAGACTTGTATGGTTTGATGCTGAGTGAAGTGAGCAGAACCAGGAGAATGTTGTACACAGTAACAGCCACATTGAGTGATGACTGACTTTGATAGACTTAACCCCTCTCAGCAATACAAGGATCTAAGATATCTCCAAAAGCCTCATGATGGAAAATGCTATCCACATCCAAAGAAAGAACTATGGAGTTTGACTATTTTTTTCTTCTGTTGTGTTTTGTTTCCTCTTTCTGGTGGTTCCTCCTATTAGTTCTAAATCTTACTTACAACATCACTAATGTGAAAATATGTTTAATAGGAATGTATATGTATAGCCTATATTAGATTGCATACCATTTTGGGGAGGGAGGTAGGGAGGGAGGGGGAGAAAAATTTAAAACTCAAAAGCTTATGGAAGTAATTGTTGATAAATTAAAATAAATTAATAAAAAAAATTTAAAAAAGAAAATATTTCACAAATGGACATTTTCTTTGAAGCATTATGTCAATTGTCCTTCATCATACCTGAGTTCTAGTTTTACTTCCTAGAGTAACAGACACACGAAAATAGGCAGTTGAGTTTTCCTTCTCCCAACATAAAGCCTCTAAGCACTACAATAGCAACTTCACTCAAATCACACTTAATTTCATCAAATCTTAATAAACAAAAAATATACAAGTATGCATAGAAAAAATTTAGTTGCAGCTGAGCTTCCCTTCAAGGCATAGCTGACGAGTATTTCAGGAAAACAAATTGATTTTAATAAGCAAAAATTAGGGAGATAATAATGCTGCAAAAATTTTACAACATATTGCAATATCAACTATAAGTGACTTCAGCATTATCTTCTATTTACTACTTTTCACATCACTAATTTCCTTTATAACTATGAGTTACTATATTAGGCTGCAGAGGATGTGCATATAAAATTGAAATACAAGCGTGCACTCTTTTTTGTAGTTGTCTACAAAAATCTTTTATTTCACTCTGTGTGGACGACCATAGGTTTTACAGAGAAACTCATACTGAAAAAGTAACACACTTTGGGTTTTATAAAGCTGGGTTTAATAAAGCTCTCATTACTATAGTAGTTACTAAATCTCCTGCTTTGATTATCAGAGATAATTATAGTTAATAGTATTTATTTGTTCATGGCTATTATGAATCAATGTTACTATTATGTAGAATCCTTTGAAATTCAGTTTCTCTGTTCTTCTGATGCTTGATTTTGATTACTTGTTTAAAAAAAGAATTAACAAAATAATTGCTATCTGGATGGAAGTAAAACAATCAATAAAATAGTCAATTTTTCATCAGAACCAAAAATATGAATTGTTTTTGGAACCTACAACTACACTTACAGTGACAATTTTAAAAGATATAGTTTGATCTTAAAACAAACAAACAAACAAACATTATAGGTAGAAAAGAGAGTTCTTGGACAGCTGCTAAATAGTACCCAACCAGTCTAGAATTAGATGAAGGTTCAATTTATGATACAGAAACGTACTTCCCTTCTCTCAGAAGATAGGTTGGGATTATGGATAGAGTGTTGCATGTGTTGTCAGAAGCAGATGTTATGTTGGTTGGTTTTGCTTAATTTTTTTCTATGTTAAAAGGGGGGATTTCGTGGGTTAGTACAACAGAAAATTACATAAAAACACAAAAGCATCAATAAAACTTTTAAAAAACTAGCAGCTAGACACAATTCAGTTATAGAAAAGGACCCTTCCCCCAAAAATTATACTTTTGTGGGAACAAAGTTGAAAATTAAAAGACATCAAATAAAAGTTCCCATATCTTTTTTACCTTCCCTATTCTACTCAAAGTATGTTTTATTTCACACACACATTAAAAGCTCAATAATTCAGACTCTACCAATTCCTCAGTCATTGTGGCCTGAATTGAAGTTTACATTTAGGAATATGAAGAAAATGCTAAGAAAATTAATACTAAAAAAAACTTTTCAGGAATCATAATTGACCTACTTATTAAAAGAAACTGTTTCAAGGATTTTTATTTATTAATGATTTTTATTGCAAATGGTGCTGATTATAAACAAGTTATCAACTTATCAACATCCAGTAAGTATACTGTTTGGAAATACTTTTTAACAGTCAATTTAAATTATTACAAACCCCTAAAAGTAATAAACATTTCTTTAAAAGAATATTCTATAATTCAAATTTGTCATTAATTTAGTTCCAGTTAGGGATTTATGTAAAGTACAGAGAACTTAGGTTTACAGGTTTAATGATAGACATATTTGTCATTCCATGATTATTATTGTCTTTACTTGCCAATTCACAAGAGAATGTGGCATCTGTTTGAAACAAAACATTTTTAAAAATTAAGAAATCCTTACTGAGATACACAATGATCTCCCACACATCAAGAATATAACTTAACAGAAAAGTCTCAGTTACTTCTGATATGACAGATTCACACTATAAGATTACACACCCTACCTCAGGGTCCACTTGTTTCAAGTTGCCTACTAACTAGTTCTATGCTTTTGCATTCATGGAATTCTTATATTTACCTCTAGTTTGGCATCCAGCTCTGCATCAGATGCTACTACGTGCTCATCCTCTTTTTTTCCTGTTGCTTTGATTAGGACCTGTTTGGTTTTCCAGTATTTCTTTTGCATTCTGCTGACTACTGACTGGTCATCTTCTGATTTAGGGGTCCCAAAGGAATCCATGAAGTGACTATGAAAAAAAGATCAGTATTAAACTTTGGAATAATAAATATTAACCCTTACTGATCAACTGAAGGCAGTTTCTTTAAAATGATAAATCAAGAAGTTAAAGATATTAACTAAACCATTATTACCTTTTAAAAATGTATGTTCTGATCACTGATGAGAAATTGGACAAGAATTGAAAACAGGCTAAAATGTAAATAGAACTGATATAATCAAGTACTTGCACACCAGGTGATAATATACTGTAAGAGGAACAATAGGAATAAGTTGATAGAGAACCAGCCTTAGAATTGGAAAACCTTGAGTTCAAGTCTGACCTATAACATATATTGGTTTTATTACCTTGGCCAAGTCACTTAACCTCTCACTGTTTCAGGCAACTATACAAGATTATAAATTGCCAAAGAGTTACTGATCTTCATTGGTAGAGGGAGTTTCTTCACCAAGAGTTGTTTCAAGGAATCAGGAGTTTCATTCATCAATGAAATCATAAATCCAGACCAAAAAAAAATTACAAATATTTACATAGTTCATTATTTATTATGGGAATACAAGTTTTTCCTCCCTTTACTTGGTCAAAATTTCATTTTTTATTGAATTGATTTTTTCCCCTTTACTTGAAAAAATTAATTCAATGATACCATTTTAAATGGTGTCACTGAATCTTTGAAAATTTGGCCAATCATAAGGATTTGCAAAATGAATGGGGGCTCTATGATAATGTTTACTAGGATATACTGTTATATATAACATAATATATAACATAATGTTTATTAGTATTTAGAGTAACTATGAGGTGAATTAGTTGCCAAAAGCATTTCAGTCAGTTGGCTAGCATTAAATGCTTACTTTGCTCTTTTCCAGGGGGAGCCAGAATAAAGAATCAATTCAGTCAAATCAAATTAAGTATTCAATAACAAAAATGAAACTGAACAATGACCAGCTAGGTGGCACAGTGGAAAGGGCACCACCCCTGGAGTCAGGAAGACCTAAGTTCAAATCCAGCCTCAGACACATAACATTCTGTGTGGCTCTGGGCAAGTCACTTAACCCCAACTGCCTCACATTGAGAGAGAGACAGAGAGAGAGAGAGAGAGAGAGAGAATGTCAGAGAAATCTATGAAGACTTGATTGAAATGATATAGAGTGCAATAAGCAGAACCAGAAGAACAGTTTATACAATGACAAAACTATAAAGAAAAGTAATTTTGAAAGACTTAAGAACACTAATTAATACAATGACCAACCACAGCTCTGGGGGACCTTTGATGAAATATGTTACCCACTCTCTAAAAGGAGGTTAATAGATTTAAGGAGTAGAGGGAGATATACATTTTTGGATATGACCTCAGCATGGATTTGTTTTGCTTGAGTATATTTATTTGTTAAAAGGACTGGGTTTCTCCCCCAATTTTTATAGGAAGGAGGTAGTAGCAGGGAGAGGGAAGTAATAATGATGATGATGATGATGATGAAGGCCATTGTAACATTTAAAAATACACAATGATTTGGAGGGGATCAAATGGTATGGAAAAGGGATTCACAGTTTCATATACAATCCCATTTTTATAATCAACTTTGTATGCAGAAATGCTCGGTTTTTTTAGTTAAGTTGAGAATTTAAGAGTTTTAAGAGAAATCTTATCTCTGACATAGCCTGGTGATGCTTCACCAGTTTCTTCATTTCCCAAGGATTTTTTTTTTGCAACCAAAAACAAGGTTTATTGAAGATTCGCCATATTAGCTAGACTCTTACGGAGTCTGAACATGGGTAAGCAGTGGTTAGATTATAAGAATCTAAGCAGTGGCTACATTTTAAGAATCTGAGCAGTAGCTAGATTATAAGAATCTAAGCATCTTTTGTGTGTGTGTGTGTGTGTGTGTTTTATTTTTAGGCAATTGGGGTTAAGTGACTTGCCCAAGGTCACACAGCTAGTAAGTGTCAAGTGTTTGGTCGGAGGCCGCATTTGAACTCAGGTCTTCCTGACTTCAGGGCCAGTGCTCTATCCACTGCGCCACCTAGCTGCCCCTTGAATCTAAGCATCTTAATGGAGACAAGATGGACCTCATATACAGAAAGACTGTGGAAGGGATCTAGGAGTGGCCAAGTAGTTTGGGGTGACTGGAGGAGGGGTCTAAGGAGATCTGGATGGAAGTGGCCAGTAAGCTGGGGTAAACAGAACTCCTGGGACCTGGACCTCGTGGCCAAGGAGAATGGAGAAGGGTGGTCCCAAGGATTCTAAGGCAGTGATTAGTGAGGAGAAAAACTGTTATCTGTTATCTCTGCTTCCATATTGAAGCTTTGGGATCTCTGAACATTACAACTGGTAGAGGAGGAAAAGAGAGAGGCAAGGAGGGGGAGCCTGCCTCATGAAGTAGCTGACCTTGCATATTTAATAATCCCTACTTAGAGACTGGGGCCTACTCTTACGTCCTTGGCAGTGTGGGACAATCCTTATCTGTGTAATCCCAGAGCTGTGGTAGCAAACAGCAACAAAGAAAAGAATGAAGATGTCATTAAGTCTGACAACACTTTGTATTTCTTAACGTCTTCAAGCAGCGTTAAGTGGTAGTGAAAATGCCAGCTGATCTATGCTACAGTTGTACAGTACACAAGTTAACATTTATGTAGGGCTTGTGTTCCATACTTCATATATTGTGCTGTTTTGATTCTATAAGATGGATCAGCTGGCCAAAAAAAAAAAAAAAGATTGGAACATGTTTCTACTGCATCTTCTCTACCACTTAACACTGCTGGAAGAAGTCAAAAAATGCTGAGTCCACTACAAATTCATGCTATTTAAACCTCAACTGAACCCTAGCTGCTACAAAGCAATCCTTTTATTCATCTCTGATTAGTTTGCTTTCACATTTTCCACAGCACATTTCTCCTCTCTCTGTTAGCATACTTACCTCCTATTTTACCGAGAAAAGCGGAAACCATTCATCATGAGTTACCTCACCTCATTACCTCTATAACTAAAAACTCTCTAAGTCATCCTCCATACTCTTTGTTTCAGTCTTAATGAATAAGATGATTCTTCTTTTTTCCAAGGCTAAACCTTCTCCTTGAGCCTTCCACCTCACCATCCCTCCTCTCTTTCAGGAGTGTGTTCCATCAATCATTCCTCCTCCATTTTATCTCTAATCTTTTCCTATCTCCAATCTCACAGAATAACAGAATTTCAGAGTTGAAGGGACCTCCAAAATCATTTAGTCCAACTCATCTTCATATGGCACAGACTCAAGGTCCTTAACCATCCTAGCTGCCTTCCTCTAGATATTCTCCAGCTTATCAAAGTCTTTCTTAAGCTTTTGTGACCGGAACTGAACAAAATATTCAAGATATGGTCTGACCAGGACATTTTACCATCACCACCTTATTCTTGGAAGCTATAACTTTTTAAATTAGACCAAAAATCACATTTCCTTTTTTGGTCACCACATCCCATTACTATCTCATATTGACCTTACAGTCCACAAAAATCCCCAGATTTTTTTCAGACCAACTATCTAATCATACCTCCCACATACTGTACTTGTTAAGTGGATTTATTAACCAAAATGTAAGACTATATTTAATCCTAATAACTTTCATCTTATTAGATTCAACCTAGCTTATCAAGACCTTTATGAATCCTGATTCTGTCATACATTATGTGTCTATCCTGCTCAGCTTTGTGTCATCTGAAAATCTGGTAAGCACGCTCTCTATTCCTTTATTCAAGTCATTGACAAAACATGTTAAATAGCACAGGGCCAACCAAGCACAGATCCCTGAAACACTCAACCAAATACCTCCTGCTAAGCTGACGCTGAACATTCACAATAACTCTTTGAATTCAGTCATTCAACCAGTTCTAAAACTATATCACTCTATAACCATCTGGTTCACATTTAGACATACTTTCCACAAGAGTAGTGAGATTTCACCAAATACTTTACTAAAATCTAGGTAAAACACATCTACAATACTCTGCTGATCTAGATATTTTTGTCCATTGCAAGCTTGATAGCCATCAACAAAATATATCAAAAGGACAGAAAAAGAAGATTGCATAAATCTATCAAGTATAGTTTGGGTTTTGTTTTAAGTACACATCAACTTTCAACTCCACCATCTTAGTTCTGCCAATCCCAAAGTAACTCTCCTAAGGTTCAGATTTGACCATGTTATTCCCTTGCTCAACAACTTTCACTAGTTCCCTATTGCTTTCAGAAATTACTAAAAACCCCTTGGATTCTCACTTAAATACCTCCACGATCTAATTCCAACCTTCCTTTCCCCCCGTCATACGTTCTACATTTCAGCCAAAGTGGACCAGGAGCTGTTCCCTGAAATATGCTTATCATCTGCTTCTATGCATTCACACAGGCATACCCTCCCAGCTTGAAAGTACTTCTTTCTCATTTCTAGCCTTTTAGGATCCCCACTTTTATTCAAGCCTCTGTTTAGATGCCATCTCTTCCATAAAGCCTTCTTTGATTTCCCCAGTTAAAAATCTTCTGTCTAATCTCAAATAGTCTTTGGTCACTTTCTCTGAATCTCTTCTTTGCTCCCATATCAGTTCCCACCACAACAGTCAATAGTCAAACACTTGTTAGGCACCTACTATATGCCAGGCACTGTGCTAAGCACTGGAGAAACAAATACAAAAAGAGAAAGGCAGTCCCTACCCTCAAGGAGCTTACAATCTAATGGGTAAAGACAAAACACAAAAGCAAGTTGAAAAGCAAGGGAGCAGTCAGTCAGGAGCCCCATAATACAGCCAGGTGAGAAATGAGGAGATGCCTGATCTGAGCTCTTTTCTTAAAAGGAGGTTTGGAGTTCATGGTCCTACTCTCCAAACTAAGAGGTGGTGATAAGGTAGAGTACCAAGGCTGATAAGATCTTACAGGATGATGAATGAGTTTTCTGGGGTATGGTGAAATTAGAGAAGGCCCAAAGGAGCGCAACCAGGTGAAGAAAGAAAGTGGTGCTGGATGGAAAAAGGTCC